TGTAACTATTGGTTTATGTTTAACACAAATGTTGAAATTATTTTCCTCTGAAATGACGATTTTTAATAGATTAACACTCTTTATTTTGATTTTTTCTATTCATTTCAATAATATTGTTGTATATGCGTCAACTTGTGTATTTATTTGAATCAAAAGTTTCACTTATCAAGTAAATAATTTATTAGTTCTAAATAAATCCTTTATTCGAATGAAATAAACGATTTATTGATCTAAACAGAAGATCATTAGATGCTAATTATTTCGTTCTCCTCTCCGTCTAAACAATAATTTTAATTTTAACTAATAAAGTCGTTATTTGTATCTGAGAGAAATTTACTACATGTAACAAAATAAAAGAACGGATAAAAACCAAGTTTAAGTTTAAATAAAAGCTTTATTACAGGCTGTTTAAATAAATTCATTTATTTCGAAACGAGCTATTTCTCAGGATGCAATTATTGACAAAAATAAAATACGATAAAATACAATTCTTGCACGGGCAATGAGATCGTAAAGCGGCTCGACTGTAACAGACATATAATTCTGTGACTTTAATTATTCAACTCAGAAGACCTGCATGAACGAAGAATTTACCGGATGTAATGGAAAATTTTTAATGCGAAATGACGTAAAACGCAGACGAAATGAAAAATATGCGTCAACTTATGTATTTATTTAAATGAAAAAGTTTCACTTATCGAAGAAACAATTTATTAATTTCAAACTAATCGTTCATTTCGAAGAAGCTAATAAATTCGTTCTCTTCGCCGTCCGCAAAAATTCTGTTTCACATAAATAAAGTCGTTATTTGGATCAAAGAAACATTTGCTGAGATTTCTCGAAAACTATTTATCTCATTCAAATAACGTTTATTCATTTTGAACGGACCATTTCTCCAGGTGCACCTAATGACGAAAATAAAATACAATGTAATACAGCTCTTGCACTTGAATTGAGATCGTAAAGCAACTTAACTGTACCAGGCATAATTTGGTAAATTTTGTCATCAAAATTCCCTCGGCTCCGAACCCATAGATATCTCCGGATTACTCCAGATGTTCATGGGGGATATGATGAGAACCACCGTTTGATTCGAGGAAAACTTCCGGAGTGGAGTGGCCTCAAGGGGTCGGAGGTATTCGTATGCCAGTGCCAGAGGTGCAAAAATGTGAAATGTGAAAAAATATTGTAACAAATGTCGTGGGAATTTTTTTACTGCAATTACCGTTACGAGATTTCCATCTGGATGGTTTATTTTTATTTTTTCATTATGTAAAAGTACCGGGTTTCTTCAGCTGGGTGACAATGCGCTGGTGCACTGCCTCCCGGGACTCGCGATAATTCAGGGAGTGCGTGTAGTTATTGAACTGTGGAGAAAAAAATTGGGATAGTTATTCGGATGATCATGCACGGAGAGAAATATTCAGTAAAAATTAAGGAACAATTCACGTGATTCGCAATGGGGAATCGTTTTCCGGCAATTTTTATGGGAATGGAAGGGAAGAAATCTGAAACGTTCAGTGAATTTTCAGGTTCATCACCGAACAAAGTACGAAATTGTCACGTAATTTTTCCCGAAGAAGTAAAATCTTACAGAAACTTGCCGACTTATTGTGCCTCCAAAATCAAAAATTCTTAAACGTTTAACAATTTTTAGGAAGCTGGTGAGTTATTTCTACGTTCCGTTCCGTAAAATTTCTCAATCGTTGGGAAAAAATTACGGAACGACTTGTTGTCCCCACAGCGGTGAGTCATTAGACGGGTGGTTAATTTTTACAGAACAAATCGTAGAATTTACGTGGCGATCCGTACAATTTCAGTTCCAACTCATATTTTTTATTGAATTTTACTTCGCTCGCGGATTACGTTTCGAAACGTAATTTTTGTTTTTTTTCTGGCAATTTTTATTGAATTTTTCTCTCCGTGGGGTGAATAGCGATCTTGTGATAAATGATCTTAATAATAGAATGACGGACGAACGTTACGGCAGATGATCTTTTTCGTTGATTATGAAATTTCCGACGATGAATGTCTGATATTTTATCTTGAGATCACTCAGAACTTAGATGGTTGCCTAATTACCATTTTTTTTTTTTTTTTATGCTTATTTTATATCGCTTCGAGTCTGATGAGACTATATGGCGATTGATCAAGACTTTAAAAATGGTTAGATCTCACCATTCTACCCGGCCAGGAATCGAACCTGGAACCTATCCGTTGTGAGGCAACGGCCTTAACCACTACGCCAGGTCACCGGGCGCCTAATTACCATGATAATGTACACGGAGAAAAAAGTTCCCTCATTTCCATCAATTTTCATGAAATTGTGATTTTTCACATATTCATCGAAAGGAAAAACAGACTGTTTCATGATAACAAACGACTTCATTTGCGAGCATAACTTCCAAATTTTCCCGAAAATCAATCTATAAGAAACAGTTCAGGGACAGGAATATAATTTTCAAATTGTTAAAAGGTGTCAAAATTTGTATCGAAGTACAAGAAAACTATGCATGACATTATTTCCAGAATTAAATTCAAATGAAAATCAATTTCAACCTTTAAATCATTTGATTGAAATAGGCCACCTATTCCAAGCAAATCTCTTCTTAAAAATTTCCTATTAAAGTGATTTAATTATTGAAAGGGTAAAAGTATAAAACAAAACTAGCGTCGTCCAATTAAATTTACAGTAAAACTTGTCCTTCGACACTTAATTTATCTTCGGACATCGCAACGAATTTTCCTTGAAATTCAGTTAAATTATCGCTTGATAACAATTTCCAAGAGGCCTACCGGAAATTTCAGCCCAAAATGTTTAAAAGTATACTACATTTAGAGAAACATATCGAAAGATCTTCAAGATCTGTAGATTACTAATGTCGTACTAAAGTTAATGTACGAAATTTCCTCTTGAAATTACTCAATTCCCAGATCATTCCCAAATAAACGTAATAATATATTCTACCTGAGCCATTTTGCACCTGAAATTTCATCCAAAGTATTTCCAAGAAATCTCTCAGGAGATTAGAAAACCCTTTTCGGGGATAAAATCTCCAGAAAAAAAATGTGCGAGACATTTTCTCGCACAATTTCCTAATTAACAGAGAGTCTACGTTACATCATTTCCAGCTCTAAAATCTTGATATTTCTGAAATATTACCATCGTAATATTTTATATTTTATTTTTTTTTCAATTATTCATTTCCTCACAAGATATTCGACTATTCAACCAAATTTTACCCACGACGACCATTTTACTCCTCATTTATTGCATAAATTATCTCATAAAGAGTAAATACGATAAACCCTCAGAAAATCTTGCATTCCTGGATAGAAAAATAGTATTAAAAAAATAGCTTCAGCAAGCCCGATAGTTGAAGAGAGATATGAACCTCCGGATTCATATTTCCAAGAGCAAACGTTCGCTAAACGTCTCTGATGCCCCGGAATGTGGGTTAAACGTGTAACTCGGGGGAAACAAACCTGGTGATAAAAATCAGAGTAACCACTGGCAATTCCATAGCCCACAGTGGCAATTATACTCAGAAGCATGGTTTTCTGCATTCGTAATTTCCGCTGATGGACCAACAGCCGTCGCTTAACGTCACTCATTCTCGTGGTGGCCTCTCAGTGGGTAGCACATACGACGAGTAGATTAATCATAATTTTTTCACATTTTCCCTCCCCCCCTGGAAAATTCCAGTTAGTCGATTCATCCTTCGGATCTCCAGCGAGGACCGTTGACTGACTTACTTTGAGAATCAGTGGGTGAATGAAAATCCTCGTTGTTATTCATCATTTACACATTTTCTCCGTACATTAGTGAATTGCTCGAGTGATTGAAAATCAACAGATGCAATGATCTTGACGGTTCACTCAGTAATTTTGATCCAAAATGGTTTTAGGTGATTTTACAATTTTTCAGGGGGACAATAACAAATGAAAAGTGTTGATTTTCAACGGGAATTCATTATGAACGACGTTTGAGGGGATGGATAGGACCGAACTGTATTTTTTATTCATTAATTATAACTTACGAAAAATTTATTTTTATGATGGTGCACTGTTGGAAATTTTTTGAAATTTCACGGAAGATATCATTGTAAATCTCATGAGAGTGACATTGAATCGGATTTAGGGGAAAAATGGTTATGAAATTTCAGGTTTTAAGCGGAATTCACGGCGAAATTTTTCAACTTAATTGAATTTTCAGTGGAACATGAATATTCAGAAACAAAATGACGTGAATTTTCAATGTATTGAAAATTCATTGTGAATTTTTCCCTGAATTTTCCTGATTTTTCCGACTTTTCATAGAATAATTGAACTGAAAAATTAAATATTTTTTTATTTTTAGATCATTTGAACAGAAAATCAATGGCACAGGTGATTTTTTGATTTCCTGAAATTTCAGTGGAACTTGAACACGATAAAGATTTCCGGAATTTGGCACGGAGAATTCAGACGAAAATTTTTAACAGTGTGACGATGAGAATGATCTCTGGGTGGTGATAGGAATGAATATACAGTTGTTGTCAATTTTAATGTCCTTTTCAATGAACAGTGGGTCAAAATTCCAGAATGGAATTCTGGACATTTCCTACAACATAAGAAATTCATAAATTTCCTCAATAATTAAATGCAATTGAATTCAGAAAAGCTGCATTCGTCTTTAAGAAATCATAAAAAATGGACATTAAGATTATCAATTTTTGAAAAATCTACAAAAAAACAGAGTGTTTGTTTTTTATTAATAACGATTATTATAAATCATCTTTATTTTCGATTTAATAATTTCATTCAGCTAAAGCTGAGAATAAAATGCACTTTATAATTTTATTTTTCTTCAATGCACAAAACATGGGGATCGAATTCAGGAACTGAATAAAATAAATTTCATAACGTCGAGTCTATTAGTTTCGGATAAATCCTCGTCATTGCCCCAGGTCAGTTTTGAAATACTGCTGGCTGTTGCCACCACCACACGTGTGTCGCTACCGTCCAATCGAGTGTTAAAAAACGCAACACTTCGAGGTTATCTTGCACCAGGTTGCGTGACAAAGCCGACAATCGTCAGCTGACTGTTTATACCCCTCACCTCGTGTTGTCAAAGATTGAGCAACCGGAGTTAATTCTGTTATTTATTTATTCGTTGTAAGTGCTAGTTAATCGTCAACTGTCACTCCAAGATGTTGAGACCAGCCAGGACGTTGGTGACGACCCTTCAACGTGTCAAAGAATGCAGTCCAATGTTGAGGTGCAGTCGACAGAGATCAGACATAACAGAATACGAGTGTGAGTATCCCTCGACTTTGTTGTCGAGACGTTGAGACTTTACACTGAGAAAACAAATATTTTTGCCAAATATCCACTTATTTGAGAGAAGTATTTATTTTGTTAATAACGGATTTCTCCAGTCGAGTCATTCCCAGGCAATCCTCATTAGGTTTCAATCATGGCAATTATATTGCTCTAGAAGGTGATGTTACCTATGACCTTGAGTGAACTTCTTAATAATTATCAACACTACCACATTGATCGAAATTCCAAAAAAAAAACGGAAAATTCCAAAGTTTTTTCTTCTCATTTTCTTCCTTGTGGAAAATAAAAAATTTAGGAAAAATGAATAATCATTGGAGGAGTTCATCCAAGGTCATGTGTAACATAGTCATCCTCTAGAGCAATATGATTGTCTTAATTGAAGCCTAATCGGGCTTGTCTGGGAATGACTCGATTGGAGAAATACGTTTTTTTTTTCATTTACTTAAGCATTTCTGAACAATTACAGTTCAATTTGCATCTATATTTTCGTTATAAACATATTGGAAATGGGTGATTTTTAATAAAAATCAATCCGGTTGAGTTGAAACTTTTCTTTGTTTGAAATTATTTACGAGGAAGACACATCCACACGCTTTGAGCTCCTCAGATGGATTAACTAAAGGAACAAAGATCCCAGAGGTCTGAAACCCTGGCGACATAGACCCACAAAGGTTCATTCATTTACAGATGTTGAGACTGAAAAACCAAATGCCCAAACAGTCGTCCACGCTCTTCTCAGAATTTCAGATCAGAAAAATGTTCTCTTATAATGATATAATAAACGTACTGTGAAATATAAAATTAATTTTTATAATCATGGAATGTGAACTCCAACAAAACATAAGACCATGTAAATTGTTTATAGATGTTGTGGTAGCTTAAAACTACTAACAATACCCTTCAAATTGTTATGGAACATTTGACAAGAAACTCGTTCATTATAACAAGACAGTTTTTACCTAGTCTAATTAGGAATTCTCGTGCATGATATGGTGGAAAATTATTCTGGTTCATAAGTTTTTGAAACATGATTTGTCTGAAATCATCATACAGTGGGCATTGCCACTGGAGAAATACGTTATTGAAAAGACAAATACTTCTCTTAAGCAAATGGATAATTGGCAAAAATATTTTTTTTAGTGCATGGGATGGTGTTAATGTTTTGTTTTATTTCTTTATGGCAGCTCCCATCACGGATGAGTACAAGAGAGGACCTTCCGAGGGAAGGTCTCTGTATATGGACGCACAGGCCACTACACCCGTTGTAAACAATCAGTTCACCCTAATTAATGTCAATGATTAGTCTTGAGGGGCGATTGGGGAGTTTTGACTCATCATTTTTTTCGTGTTTCCCTGCAGGATCCCAGGGTTTTGGACAAAATGCTACCTTTCTTCACAGCTTACCATGGCAATCCTCACTCCAGGACTCACATGTATGGTTGGGAGTCTGAAGCTGCCGTGGAGCATGCGAGAAAGGTGAAAATTATTCGGCAAACTGCAAATTGATCATTCCGGGAAAAAATGACTTCTGGTTTTTATGGATCAGTCCGGAATTTCCTGACAACTGCGGGATTGTAAAATTTCAATAGAGAAATCCTGAAATCAAGTCGTTTTTTCACCAATTTCCAGTGACATAATCCTAACAATTGAAGAAGAAGAGCTAAATCTTAGAAATTTTGTCCTTAAATTTCAGGGATTTAATTCTCTTTTTGGAGCGATTCTAATTAGTGACAATTCCTGATAATTACTGGAATACCTCCTATGCAGATATTTAAGCAAAGTTTTTAACAAAGATCTTCTGATAAATTCAGTGAAGATGGGGCAAAATGGAGCGTTTGTCATTGACTCAAAAACTAATTAAAACGAGTGATTATCATGTGCTTTTAGCAAGTGGCTGATTTGATTGGAGCTGATAAAAAGGAGATAATTTTCACGTCTGGTGCAACTGAGTGCAACAATATTGCAGTGAAAGGTGTTGGGAGGTTCTACAAAGCTAAGAAAAAACACATTGTGACGACACAAACGGTAAGCATTGAATTTCCTCCATCAATGGCCTGATATCGATTATTCGAGGTGTAACATTTATCGCTGAACTTGAGTGGGAGCTGACAGAATTGCTCAGATGTTTTGTTGATTTTTTTGTGGAAAGCCAATGCAATTTACATCATGACAGCCCTTGATTGAAAGAATTGAGCCAATTTTTCTCGCATTCCTCAGTTAATTCGTTAGTTAACGAAATTAAATTACAAACTTTACCTTGACAGGAGCATAAATGCGTTTTGGATTCGTGTAGAGCTCTCCAAGCAGAAGGATTCGAGGTCACTTACCTTCCAGTCTTACCAAATGGTTTGATAGAACTTGAAAAATTGGAGGCTGCGATAAGACCCGACACGTCTCTCGTGTCCATAATGACCGTGAATAATGAAATTGGAGTTAGACAACCCATCGAAGAAATTGGTGCCTTATGCAGGTAACACGGTTGAACAATATTTTGATGACTTTGCCCTCGAAAATCAAACTAATACAGCTTTATAGATATTTCGAAGCTAAATTTCAATGAGTTTAAAATTAAGTTTGAGACATACTCCTAGCACGTCCAGTGTTTAAGGAAAATTAAATATTGAAGTGTCGAAAGCTGGAGAAAATGCACCATTTGAAAAATTTTATAGAAAAAATGAATGAATTTGACGGAAATTTTCCACGCGAATAATAAAAAAAACAAAAAAAAGATGTCCCATGAAAACTAAAATTCATTGAGCAGTTGTAATTCATTTCGGCTGTTTGATTTTCTTTTTTCAAGGAAGAAAAAGGTATTTTTCCACACAGACGCAGCCCAGGCAGTGGGTAAAATCCCAATAGACGTGAATTCAATGAACATTGACCTGATGTCCATCAGTGGACACAAAATCTATGGGCCCAAGGGGGTGGGAGCTCTCTACGTCCGCAGAAGGCCGAGGGTACGCGTGGAGCCCATTCAGAGTGGTGGAGGACAGGAAAGGGGGATGAGGAGTGGTACAGTCCCGACTCCTCTTGCTGTCGGGCTTGGACAGGCTTGTGAAATCGCTGGCGCTGAAATGGAGGTGAAGAATGGCAGAGTTTCAGCCTATAAGAATTTTTGACATATATTTTTTAATTGCAATCGGGGAGGAACAAAATGATGTTAATTTAACTGAATTTTTTTGTGAATATTTTTCGATTCAAATGGGATATTTTTGGGAATTTTATCTTCTTTCTTCCTTCCTTTTATTTCTATTCATCTAAAGAAAATATTGAAGAAGAGATTCAACTAAAAATCATCTTAATTTCACTCTAAACTCAATTCTTTATCAATTTTTTTTAATTTAAAAAGAATTAACCCAAATTAACAAAATGAGCGAAAATCCAAGATAATTCAGATTTTTAATTCCATTCCTATTTTAGTATGACAAAAATCACATAACGAGCCTCGCGAATTACCTAATCGAGAAAATAGCAGCGAATATTCCGCATGTTGTGCGAAACGGGGATCCAGTTTGCTGGTACCCAGGCTGTGTGAATTTATCATTTGCCTACGTCGAGGGTGAATCATTGCTGATGGCCCTCAAGGACGTGGCCTTGAGCAGTGGCTCAGCGTGCACTAGTGCCAGTCTCGAGCCCAGTTATGTTCTTCGAGCGATTGGAGCCTCTGAGGACCTCGCCCACTCCAGCATTCGGTTTGGCATTGGGAGGTTCACGACTTTCGAGGAAATTGATTACACAGCTGACAACACTATTCGACATGTTAAACGCCTCAGGGAGATGAGGTACGATTCAGTTTATGATAATGATTGAACAATTCTTGCTGCAAATATCTGTATTAATTTCATCGATCTATTTTTCCATAATTACCTCGCAAAAACTAAAATTGTGGTCAATTTTAAATTCATTGTTTATTCGAAAACATTTCACTTCATAATGATCATCTCAGTGATAATCTTATCCAAAGTAGAATCGTTGCTCAGTTTTTATGTTCATTTAAAAAGAAAAATTCTCAAATTAACGATAAGAAAATCTCTATTAATTTCATGAATCAATAATTCAATTGTTGCCTTGCAAAAACCAACATTGACGTTCAATTAAAAAAATTTCTTGCATTAAAAGAAATTGCAATCGCTTTGGAAAATGGTCATCAATTAATCTGCATAATAATTATCTTGAAGGTTCTTCAATAAAAAGATCGCTTCACGTATCCGGAAGCCGGATGCTGTCAGTTAATATCTCAATATTTATTATTCAAACTAGAATAATTGTTCAGTTTTTCATGTTCATTAAAAAATGTTTTAGTCACATTGGGATATGGTCATCAATTAATCCATACAGTAATGCTCGTCTCGATGATTCTTGATGAGAAAATCTTCTTATTGACCTCATCAATCAATATTTCAATTTTTTCCTCTTGAAAAAACTAGAATCATTATTCAATGCTCATTAAAAAATGTTTCAGTCCACTCTGGGAAATGGTGGAGGATGGCATCGATCTGAAGACCATTAAATGGACTCAGCACTGATTCTGCTGAGTATCGAAATCATCTCAGTGACTCATTGTTACAATAATTTCGTATGAGCACTAACAGTACGAAAACAAAACACAACGGAATTCTCTGAATCTCCGATAACTCTAGAAATGCATCTCGAGTTATCGATGATTTTTTTAAATACCAGAATGTCCTGTAAAATTCCGAGTTGTATAATTTTTCTTCACTCAATAAAAATCTATATCATTCGAAATTCAGTGGCACCTTCCTTTCTCGGCAGTCTTGATGATTAAAAAAATAACTAAGTAAATAATTAGCACATTGTTGGACTACGTCAAGCACGTGATTGTAAACAAAATTAGTCTTTCGTGGTTTCTGGCACCCAAAGGTCAGTGTCGTGAGTTTAAAAAATGTGCAGTAATGGGTCTCAGCACATACAGGTGGGGTCGTTGGTTTCTTCGTAGGATATTTTGAAGTGGTCCTCGTCCATCTCGTGGAGACCCATTCGAGATCTGTTTGCTTCTACCAAGTGCTGGGCTATATCCTCGAACATTTCGTTTATGCCCTCGCCAGTCTTGCAGGACGTTTTGTAAGTCGCTGATATCAAGTTATGGCATTGTTCACTGAGGAAATTAATAAAGCAAACGTGATGCAGCACACAAAACGTGATGTCATTTTCATAACGATTAAATTCATCGACAAATGAAATTCGTGTGTTAATTGTTTTGGGAATAGTCTGAAAATTTTAAATTTAGAAGAAATTTTTTTTTTTGTGAGACTGTAGAAAATCCCAAACACAACGAATAATTTATTTGATGAATATTTAGAGAATAACTTGCGTGTTTAAGGTGCATAAAAATTATTATCAAAAATATATTATCATTTTTCGAATATTGAAAAAATACAGGATTTTAGAAGAATTTATGGAGAATAAATTTCTCGCAAAAATTTCGAGACTTCCAAGAAACATCTGATGATTTGAAAAATCTAAAAAACTGAATGACCAAGAAATTATTACCAGAACTGATCCATCTCGGCATCAGTGACCTGCGGTCCATTATTATCAACATCACTCTTATTTCCGCACAAGAATATCTTGGCATTCTCCGCATACGTCACGATATCCAGCAGATGCTGGGACAGGAGATGAAACGAGGTGGAATTATCCAGAGCGAAAACTAGAATAGCTGCCTCTGCGAATTTGTAATAGCTCGAGGTGACTGATGCCACTCTCTCCATGCCTCCGGTGTCCCATAGTTGAAGCTAAACAATGAAAAGACAAAAATAAAAAAGACACCTTAAAATTCACAAAATAGAAAATTATTCGTCCACTCAATTTTTTTTTCAACTTATGGAACGAGTTATTTCCTTCATGTTGATATAAATTTGCACGTTTATTTTTTCGTGTGACGGGCCAATTGCTGGACAATTATGGAAAATTCGAGTTTCGTGGTGAGACATAGGGGAGGGTGGGGTAAAATGGAGACTCTAGACTTTTTTTTTCAATTACTCAGAAAAAAATTTATCAATTGAGCTCAATTTTTTGTTTATTACAAAGGGAAAGAATTATTTGCAGTGAAAAAAAAATCAAATTTCATCAATATTTCAACCTGTCATTAACAGTTTAAAAAAAGTCGAATGTGTCCATTTTACCCCAACCTCCCCTAAAATAAAAGAATCATCTAAATGTTCACCTAAATGAGTTTTTGAGAAATATGTCCGAATCTAAAGGAGATAGCGAAATTTTTGTAATCACATTTGTTGTAGCTCTCAATCGGCTCTACAAAAAAGGTTATAACAAACATTTTGCTATCTCCCTTAGATTCCGAGATATTCATTGGAATCTGGCCGATAGTCAAAATTAACTTGTACCGTTTTACCACTTCGCTACTGAAATCATTTTTTGGCCACTCCAAACATCCTCAATTCCCCAAAACTTCTCTAAAAAATCGAAAAAATTACCTTTATCCTCCTGTCATCAACAGCATACTCCTTATCAATATTATCGAGTCCCAGTGTTGATTTCCTATCACTATTGGACACAAAAGTATTATTAGCGAATCGCCGAAATATCGAGGACTTTCCAACTCCGTATTCCCCGCAGAGAATGACTTTCTGCTCGGTGACTTTGACTGTTGCCATGTCAATCCTCTCCGAATAATTCCAGTAAAAACGACTGTTTTTCTATTTACAAACCGCTCCAGCCACATCAATGACAAAATGGAACGCACTGGAGTCTCCGGAATATGACACACACGAGGCCCTCGTCATTGTCGCCGAGGATAATTGAATTACTGTGAATTATGCTCATCGAGTCCATCCAATTGCGCAGAAAATCATAAAATCGAGGTTTCTATTATTTCGCGCTACGACTCCGATCAATCATTGTGGGAAAGATTTCAATTCAGGATGACATCATTACGCATATGTGTGTGTATTTCACTATTTTCCAACTTGACGTGAAGAGAAAATCATAACAGAGGGACTGCGCCCCCTCGTGGGGTCTTCCCTCGTCAGTAGTCGGAAAATTGTTGGGGAGGATAAACGCGGGCTGAGGCGTCACGACGTTTTTCCTCGGTTTCATTCACCGGAATAGTTTATAATCGAGCGGAAATTGTATGGAATCAATTTTCATGAGTTAATCTACGTTGGGACGAAGATTCAAGGGTGAGCACTTTTTTTTTAGCGATTATTTCCGGGAAAAGGGAGATTTGGAGGTTAGATCACCGGGTGTTGGCTCAAACGTAACCGGGAAATAACGAGAAATAACTGAGGAAATTAGGGAGGCCTGCTTTTCTGCATTTTATTATTATGGTTTTGGAAATTGCCGTGGATTCTGCGATAATTGTTGCTAATTATCATTGAGAATTTGATATTACTTCGATGGAATATAGCAAGGAATTTTCGAAATTTGGGAGCTCACGACAAAATGGTCATCCGCCTTTTTTGAGAATATTTACACAAAAATTCACGAATTGTCAATGGAAAAAAATGTTATTTAATGAGGTGTTAATATTAAGAAAATAGATTTTCCATTGCTATAATTGTAAGCATTTAAATCTCAGAATTAACCAAAAAAATTAATTTGCATGATTAATTAGAAAAAAATTTCACAGCTTCAAGTTTTACAATGAGAGATTTGCTTTCTACTCATGACTTATGTGGGCTTATTTTTTAACACCACATTGTGTTCACTGCAATGCTCTTTTGATTTTTTTTTATATTTTTCAATTCATTTGATTCAAATAAAGCATTATCACAGGTCAATAAATCAATTCTCTTTCTCATGCCAACAATGATTAAATTTTCAATTAAAATGAATTTTCAATTAAGGGGAGACTAAAATAGGAAAAAAAACCTTAAAATATTATAAATATATTCTCGATTCTTTTAGAAATATTTTTCGGGCCATTTGACATGAACGGTGCAATTTTTTATTTTTTTGCCCTAATTATTCATTTTTAGACACATATAATCGATTTTCAACGTATGAGAAATCTCAATCCAACACGCAGAATCAAATAAACTTTATTTGACTCAAATAAATCGTTTATCTGATTCTAACAGGATTTATTCGATTCAAATAAAGTTTACTTACTCCAAATATCCCATTTTTCTGGGTGAATAGTCCGCGATTTCTAAAACTCATAGTAGTCTCCCCTCATGGGAGAATGGAGCATTGCAAAGCCTCCAACAGTACTCAACAAAATGCCAATGGCACATACCGCCACCGCACCATCAAATCACCAAAAAATCATAAAAATGACGAGAGCGCCAACCCCTTTTAGATGGACGACAACGACTCGACGACAGTCATAAAGATGCTCCAGGACCTGAAGTCCGAGAACTACCGCAGAAACAGCGGCGTCTCCCTGCGTCTCTCCAACGCAGGCCTATCAATGAGCGCCCTCCCCCCTCCCCCCGAGGACAAGCACCCGAGTTCCATCAGAAGGAGCGTCGACAAGTCCCCCCTGACTGAGGACTCGGCGACCCCTCTGAAGCGCCGAAGACTGGACTCGACCCTCTCCTCCACCTTCAACCTGTCCTCGATCTCGGATTCAGCCCCAGGTACGCCCTGGGAATGGCGCAGGTTGAAGGCAGAACTAGTCGCCCTCCGAACTCGGCTCTCCCACACGGAGGCCACTGTCACCCAGCTCCACAAAATCCGTCGAGAGATCGAGGAAGTCTTCGAGCGGGACAAGCACATGCTGGAGATGCAGGCAGAGCTGGACAAGCAGACGATAAAACAACTTGAATTGCGCCTCGAGTCCTCGAAGAAGAGCACGCAAGAGGCGCGAGAGTCTCAGGCTGCTGCGGAGTTGGAGCTCTTTCAAATAAAATCAAAACTGGAGCAGAAAATCCTGGCCCTGATGACGGAAAACGCCAGCCTGAAGGAGACCGCGATGTACTGCAACTCCGAGGACTCTCCAGCATCCCCAAAACTCCAGGAAGAGGACTCCGATGCCCAACTCAAGCTGGAAGCTGCTGAGGAAAGAATTCTGGAGCTGGAGGTCAAGCTGAAGGAGCACATGGTCTCCCATCAGGAGCTCGAGCTCCAGAACTTGGAGCTGCAGAACGCGAGAATGAAGATTGAGACGTTGGAGGCAGAAAGAGCCCTGTGGGAGGAGGGTAAGAGTCTTCTGTCGAGAGCAGCACGTGCCAACGAGCTCGAGAAGGAGATACAACTGGCGAAGGAGCAGATATCGATCCTCCGCGAAGCTGTCAAGGGGAAGCTCCTCCTGGAAGAGCAGATGGCCAACATGGAGAAGAGGCTGGAGCACACGGAGCGAGTGGAGTCGAAGCTGGCGATGATGGAGGTGAGATGTGAAGAGCTGTCCTCGAGGATTCAGGAGTACGAGGGAATTGGAATTGGGAAGACTCCAGGGGCTTTGAGGCAGGAGGTCCATCGTCTCCAGCAGTCTGAAGCTCTTCTGATGCTGGAGGAGGGGAGACTGCGGTGCCAGGCTGACGCCCTCCAGAGGGAGAACGATGGACTCCAGAGGAAGTACGAGGAGGCGAAGAAAATGGCGACAGACATGACGAGTTCCACTGAGAAGTTGAATAAGTTCATCATCAGACTTCAGAAGAAGATGCTGCTGGTGTCGAGGGAGAGAGACAGCTATCGACAGCAGTTGGATCTTTATGAGAAGGAGATGACGACTTTGGAGAGTAATAATGCCATTACTGAGAGAATTCCAGCGCTGGAGAGGGCTGTCGAGGGGTACAGGGATCTCGTGGAGAAACTGGAGGCTGATTTGGCCACTATTTCGGATCCTGAGAGTCTTCGGGCTAAGGATGAGTGCAAGAGACTGCGGGGGGAGGTGGAGAGGCTCAAGGGGGAGTTGGAGCATCGAGCTTTGAAGGGGGATTTCAATGTCAACTCGAGGATTCTGCATTTTAAGATGAATCCAGCTGCTATTGCTGGACAGCAAGCTGAGGAGAAGCAGAAGGCACTGCTTCAGGAGGTCGAGGAACTCAGGGCGAGGGTGCAGCATGGATTTGCTGGACAGAGTGGAGCAGTTATCACTACTTCGTCGTCGTTTCAGGCGCAGGAGATTGCGGAGTTGAAGCAGTCACATGAGATCAAGATTGCGAGATTGAAGGAGGCTTTCAAGGCCTCCTCGCAGGAGTACAGGCAGGCTTGCTATCAGCTGTTTGGCTGGAGGGTTGACAGGACCAAGGAGGGAAGGTACAAATTGTCGAGCCAGTATGCAGAGTCCCCTGATGATTTTTTGTTCTTCAATGTGGGGGAGGGCGTCGATTTGCTGGAGACTGAATTCTCGTCTACGCTTGGGCCACTTATTGAGAGACATCTTGTCAGGCAGCACAGTGTGCCTATGTTTTTGAATGCTGTGCAGATGGATCTGTTTTCGCAGCAGACTATTACTAATATTGTGGGGTGAATTATTGGGTTCATTGGGAAGTGATGGAGATAATTCAAGCGGTGAGATTCTGCAATGAAAAGCTGATTGAACCTCTTAATTCTGGCAGTGAGAGGAACAATAATTTGAAAAAAACGACTGGATTTGTATTTTCCTACAGTTCCATAGCTGAATATCAATATCTCCGGGGTTTTTTACTTGATAGGTTAATAATGTTAAAATAGAGATGCTTTCGGAGGTGAATTTATTAATTCGGAACAGATTATCTTGGGAGAATTCCGAAAAGTTGTGAGGTCAGGGGACTGCCAAGAAGTTTTTTTTGTGAACTGAAATATTCTACACAAAAAATTTCCCTCATTGGTAATTCATGTTATTTATTCTCTGAGTTATGCAACAAAAATGTCGTTTTGCCTGCGAATTTCGAGGAATTACTTTTTATAAATGGAAAAACTCGCGACGAATTTGTCTAGAGCTCTTCATTGCAGTGCTATTAGAAAAATAATCTGCAAAATTTAACCTTTTCATCTTTTATAATTTTATGAACTGTAATGATTGAGCCCAGACTGATGATGTATAAAATTCTCACCAATTTATTGACAATAGCTACGAGTTGTATAAAAATCGCTTAATCCTAGAAGCTTAGCATAATCAATCAATAATAAATAAGTTACATCCATAAAAAAAGATTTATAGTTCATATAATTTGTGCGCAGCAATAGCAAGGCGTCTATACCCAAGTCCGAGTGGATTGAGAGCTTGAATTGTCAATTCACTTCGCAAAAGTGCTATGAAAAAATTACTATAGTACTATTCGATCGAATAAAGTGTTCCGTGCTATTCTCATAGTTTGTTCTATCTTTGTTCTTATTCTCAACTCAAATTAATCAATTATGTTCATCAGTAGAAATCTTGCAATCCTCCATTAATGTCCTTGAATACCCTCAATAATAGTTTCATAATCCTTTTTTATATATGAAGTTATTTGATAGTCTCAAGTATAATAGAATATAATTCTTTGGTAATTCTCCAAGTATGGCAGTGCGTGAGAACGGATTACCAGCGAGGAGATGCTGTGGATTGGGAGGCTGCTGTCATCATTGAAGGAGGTCCACTAAAATAATAATTACAAATAAATTATGAATTAAAAACAATTCACCAGACAAAACAATAATTTAGACATTATATTGTGATTTCTTTCGACGTGGATACGTCTTTAATTTCACAGCTGTCGTTGCGACTAGAAATAAATTCCATAGAAATCCAATTCGTTCTAAAAATTGAAAGGACGCATATGAAATGAAAAAAATGAAGTCCTCTGGGTTTTCTATCAAATTCCCCTACACTGAGAGATAAACAAACACGTTGTCAAACAAGTCTTGTTTGGGCCAACAAAATCGCTAGTTGAAAATTGCCAAAAAAGAATTTGTTTGGTTCAAATTTGAAAGTCTCAAACATGAATAATTGTTCTGCTTTCGACAGCAACGAAATATTTGGCTCAAGAGGCGGATAATTCACACCCGACGGTGCCTTCCCAGGATGAAAATATCTCATCGAGGAAAATTTATCAACAAATATTTTATCTCCAAGTTACAAGATTGCTATCATATCATTATTGTTGTTTCATTTAAGGCTTCATTTCTTGTCTGCGATTATTAGACAGCCGAAACGAAAAACTACTATCGCTTTTTTCGCATGAAACAAAGATTTTTCGAGAGCAAAATACGTATGGGAGTATCGAATAACGAAGGAGTAGTGCTAGAAATGACATTTCTTGCAGCTACAGAGAATGCTATTTTCTTTTAACTACTAAATCCATTTTTGCGACAAAAATTTTTCATTCCCGCGCACTCTGCATGTTTGGCCCAAAAAATCATTTTCTTGGCCCAAGTAAGACTTGTTTGAGAATTTTGTCGTATTTCCCTGAAATTTTCTCGTGCGTGTTCTCCCTGGAAACAACTCACCTCCAAGCAATGAGCGGCGCCAGCCTCTCAGTGAGCCTCTGATAGTTCCTCTCGAGTTCCCTCTGATAGTCCCTCTGATCCGGCCCAATGAGGTTCTTATTCCTCCTGAGTGCGTCCAAGCACCTCTTCTGAAAGTCCTTGAAGCAAAGCCTCAGCTTGTGCTGCAGCTTCGTGGGCTGTGCATTCTGCTCCCTCAGCCCAGAGAGAAAAACCACCGCCACCTCGGCAGGCCCCTGATTCACAGTCGTTCCGATGCACCCCTGCAGCACCATCTGCAGGATTTTGGGATCGGGCGGCTCCTGCACAGTAGCCGCCGCCACCTCCGCCGTCTTCTTCTGAATGTCCTCAATGGCCACCTCAATCGGACTGAGAACAATCTGCTTCCTCGCCACAACCCTGATTCTCGTCTTCAGATACGGAAAATGCGTTGCCACTGTCAATATTGTTTTCCTCTTGCACTGTTCCCTCAATTCGCCATGTGCCTTCCCCCCGGGAGTGAAGGGCGTGGCATAAACGAACCTCTTGATGTTAAAATTCCTGTGAAACACAGTTGGTCGATGTCTCAGCTCATGGGGTTCGAAGTAGGGCTCGACATACGTGATCTGCACGTACGCCTTGTCCCCCTCGAGTTTGCTGATGTCCACGGGATTAGAATCCTTGATAATCACGATATTCTCCACTCCAAATCGTTCGGCATAAAAATTCTCCAGCCTGGAGAAGATTTCCGGTAATTTCGTGAGGGTTGGCTCCTTGTAAACAAACTCCTCCCCAGCGAGATCTCCGAAGCGTGCCCCGTAGAATCCCACCCTGAAGTAAGTACCGAAGACTCGTTTCCCAGAGAGCTGCTCCACCCTCGTGTACGCCTCGTGCAGCTTTCCGTGGATATTCGCCAGTTTCTTGTAATCGTGTGCTGACTCTGCGATGGGTAGAAGTACCCTGTAGACGTCTGGTATGGCCTCGTACATGCCAGCAGCGTGAAAGGAGGAGGCTGCGTGCTCGAGGAGGCCAGCGAGTCCACTCTCCGAGAAATCAGGGCCCAGACAGAGCCCCTCTTCTCTTCTGGCGAGGACGTCGTCCCCAACAGCGCTCTCCTCGAGAGCATTCGGAGTCACTGGGGCCAGTGCAACAGCCCCCACGGGTCTGCCACCACCACCAGGCTCCAGCAAGTGAAGGTACTCGGCAACGAGGGCTGCTGAATGCACCAGGCACATTGCGGCCTCGGTGTGGTTCTTCCTCTCCATGTGCTGCTGGGCCATATTTGCAAGCCAAGTCAGCCGCAAGTCTGGAGAGCCCTGATATCCCTTCGCAATCCTGTTCGCAGGAATGCAACATTGTTAAATTATCATTTTTTTACTTTCGTCAGGAATTATTTCCTACCAATTTTGTTCTTCATCTCCATGTTCATAAATTTTCAATTAGGGATCGAGGGAACATTTGGAAAAGTAATATAACAACGTTTGTTAATTTGGTGTAGATGCGACGTTTCGCTAAATATTTTAGCGAAACGTATTTCCTACCGTCATTTGTGGGGACACATCGTCTGTCTTGGTGAAAACTCATCATGATTTTTGGGTTCAGTCATTTTTTTCGTTAATTTCTGTCATTTAATTTCAAGGATTTTTTCATAAATTGGAAGGGGAATGGTGGGGTCAAATTGAGCTATTCACGTACTCAATAAATCCAGTAGCGAAGTGGTAAAACGGTTTAAGTCGACTTATCTCCCAGTTAAGCTTTTGAGGAATATTTCCGAATCTATGAGAGATAGCGAAATTTTCGTAATTACATTTTGTTGTAGCTCTCAATCGGCTTTACAAAAAATGTTATAATAAAAATTTTGCTATCTCCCTTAGATACCGAGATATTCATGGAAAACTGGTCAATAGTCAAAATTGACTTGTACCGTTTTACCACTTCGCTACTGAATTAAAAATCTGAATGCAAACGTGATGCAATTTATTTTAATTTAGATGTTTAAAAAATTAACTGAAAAATCGTGGAAACTTGCTTGTATTATTTCTCATGAATTTTACGAAAATTTGCAATCAAATTTGCAATAATACTCATTTTTTCAGTGAATTAAATAGTCTGTGGCCTAGTCCCAGAGACTGTGAAATAGATATTGAACGTTCGAATTCATCAAAATAATACTTTGTAGAAAGAAAAATCGAATGCTCTATCTAGACAAAAATTGATCGTCTAAATTTGTTCTCGTCATTTTTGTAACCCGAGATTTTGTGACGTTTTCCATCGCACACTTACCTGTACATGAGGTCCAGCAGCATCTCAGGATCCTCCTGGAACTCCTTCATCTTAACAGTATCCGAAAGAATCATATGAAGATTGAACAGAAGATCCTTGACTTGCTCAGGAAAGCTGGTGTCAGCGAGTTCACTGTCCCTCTCTGCATAAACGAGAACGGTCTTCAGGGCTCTGCGAAGTGCCCCCTCACTGGGAGCCCTCCCCCTCCCAACCAAAGCCGACAGGGACGTCGTCACCTGCATCTTGACCCTAGCAAAGTTATTTCCAATCTCGAAATTCTGTCTCATGAGGAGGTAGAGGCTGGCAGCAGCGTGACTCCTGATGGCACTCAACGGAGAGCTGCACCTGGTCAACAGTGTGAGACACAAATCCCCACATCTCTCGCTCTCCTCATCGAAGAGGGCACTGTGATACTTGAAGACCAGTGCCCTTTGAGTATTGAACATGTGCTGGAGGACAGAGGTGCTCTGATTCCTGGCTAGAGCCCTGAGTAGTACCTTGAGAACAGCACCCACCACTGCCCCCCCACCACAATCAGCTTGCACAACGCACTCGAGACTGTCTAGAACGACGAGGGAGGCCTCAGCAGCGAGTGCCCCCTCAATATGGGCGTCTTGCTCCACAGCTCGTCCCTCAGGCTGTTCATTGCCCCTGTAAGGCATCTGATCCTTCCTCCACCTCAATTTATCCCCAGTTATTCTCTCCTTCCTTCTCAGCATCATCTCACTCCTGGCACTTCCCTGCCCCAGGATGACATCCTCGAGTCGTGACCTGATGTCACTGGTGGCTGTCGCCTGCTGGGGGAGCCTCTTCAGTGCTTTCTTTCCTTTGTACTCGAAGGCAGCTGTTGCGATGCTGAGGACCTGCAGAAAATTGAGGACTCGTCGAGCACTCAGCTCCGAGCACCACTGGGCAAGAGCCGATTTCTCGAGACCCTTCAGCACCCACAGGAAGCACATGAGGAGGTGCCTTGTGGCTTCTGAGCTCAGAGACACTCGACACTGGGCCCCAACGTCAGCAGAGCCCCCACCAGCGATGGCAAGAGCCACTGACTGAGTGATGGACCCTGACTCATCAGTATAAACACTCTTGTCCTTCGAGTCCCAGTGGTACAACTGGGGCAGAGCATCCATGAGGATGTTTAATAACGGCAGATAGAGGGCAGCCACCCTGGCCTTGGCCGCTGGATCCGAATACCTGGGGTCACCATCGTGGAGATTCATCAGGTGCCTCACCGACCCAATGGCCTTATTCTGGAGCATTGGATTGGGGATCTCCAGGGTGTTCGCCAGATCCGAGAGGACCAGTCCCACCAGAAAGTGCTGTTGACGAAATTCTTGGCTCAATTCTGAGAACCTCGCTCGCTCACCTGGGACTAATGTTGAGATTAGACTGCCTGAACTGCCTGTGGAGGGACTGGGGGAGGCTGGGGCTGATCCTGATGTGTAGCCAGTGCCGAAGGGGAGGTTGAGGGCCACGTAGTGCTCGTGGGAGCAGATTGTGCGAACCAGATCGAGTTTCAAGGAGAAGAGGGCTGCTGAGTCTGGCACGTGCATCGAGGCGTCCGTCAAGGAGCAACAGGTGGCCCTGATCAGGGAGAGGATGAATCCTCGGTCCATCGTGGAGAGGAGGTCCGAGAGGAAGTTGCCGATGCTGGAGATGAGGTTTGAGGAGACTCGGGGGTCTTTTCCACAGCGATTTATCACTTCTGAGGTCAACGCTGCTGTCAGGGTGGCCACGTCGTCTGAGAATTGGGGGGAGTATCTGCTCTTTCGGGGGGCCTCGAGGCTTCCCACCTCAGCGAGGTGAATCACCATGGAACGAACGATTAGCTCGAGGAAGAACCAGGAGTGGATCACAGCCAGCTCTCGGGCTTGGCCTGTGGAGACTACCCAGTGCAGGGCCAGCTCCTCGTGCAGGAGACGTCTGGCGATGTGACTGTTTATGGAGGGGGATTCCTGGCGCATCGAGGCCGTTCGGTCGAGGCCACGGGCGTGAATCTCCATCTCCAGGTCTTCCACTGGCAAGTCTGGATTGCTCTGGGCGCGGATTACGGAGGGGCCCTGCGACATTCGGGGGATTGAACACTGGAAGGCTGTGTAGGTGGCCAGCAGGGCGTGACGACCGTGAGCGTCCACCTGTCCGTCAGGCATGTTTGTGATGTTTCTGACGAGCAGGCCAATTGCTTCGAAGACAGTGGCAGCAACGTTCAACGGCTGCGAGGGGAGAGTGGGTGGGTGCACCAGCAGCGAAATGAGCTGATCAAATATTTGGGGAAAGCAACGAACAAGGGCAGCACTGGCTGCTTTGGATAATTCTAGCAGCGCTGACTTCAATTCAGACTCCATACCAGCCTCACCAATTCTCGGTGGCACCTGGCCCGTCTCCAGGCTCCCACACAGAGACAAGAACTTGTCGATGTATTTGTCCTGCGGGTGAACGCTGGAGATGGGCTCCAGGATGACGCTGAAGACTCCTCGATGAGCGTCCACCCATCTGGTGCCAGGTAGTTGCACGTCAGGGGCTATGTACGAGTAGTTTGAGGGGGGTGGGTCCAGCATTGCTGGGAGGCTGAACTCCCCAGACTGGAGGTGGCCATCTCTGACGAGGGGCAGCCAGGTGTAGGCCACTGGGGTCTCCACGTTGGGCTGCTCTGCCTTTTTCTGGCATGATATGTGGTAGAAGGTGAATAATAAGTGATGCCTGGCACTGAGATCTGCTGGCAGTCTGATCTTCACTTCGTCGTAGAAGCTTGGGTTCTTATTGTGGTAGGAAACTGAAGTGAAAGCTTCGTGTGTCATCTCAGGGCACGATGATCTGCCAAAAATGGCTGTCAATGCGTCTGACTCCTGCTCACCCCCCATCAGTTGAATCCTCACTGCGATGTTCCTTGCTGAACCCGTTCTAGAACTGAAGTTCACCTCCTTCGGGTAAACGTAGAGAAGATTTCTGTACAGCAAGTCTGGACAGACAATATCCGCTGGGAACTCCAGAATCTCCTTGATCGGTCTGTTCTTCTCGTCGGGGTAGGGGGACAGTCTCCTCAGGTCAGGATCCAAGCACCTGGGAAGATCGTCGGGTCTGGGGCTCAAGTCAAGCTTTAAAATGCCTGGAAGACACTTCAGTCGTTTCAGGTTGGAGCCGGGTCTCCTCAGCTCCACCAGGAGCTTGTAGAGGTCCTCATCCCTCAGTCGCTCGCTCTCGTGCTTGAAGAAACTGGAGACTGTGAGGGTTATTGGACGAAAACTGTCGAGGCAGTTGGCGAAGTCGTCGGGTGACCAGCTCCTTCGTTTGTCGGAACTTCGCCGCTCTAGGGAGCCTCTCCTCGTGGGTGGCTCCACCTGTTGCCATGCAAATAGTCTTCAATTTTCGGATGAAACTCAACTATTAATTAGTTTTCTTCGTTGTCTTTCGTTAATAGAGAATGTAAACTTGAAGGGATATGCAGTTTTATTTAGAAGGTATTTAGTTTCTAAGAAAGACTCTATTCAACTCGAATAAATATTCTTTAGACCTCCTTACTCAATTTTGTGATGAACATAGGTTGGGAAAATCTATGTATCACGAACCTTCGTAATCTTCCTTTTAATCCATTTTCCTCTTTTCACCCTCTTTTACCCCACATTTTTCTACAATACTCTTTTCAATTCGTACCAAAAAAACCTCTATTCAGCCATCAAAATCTTGTCCAGCAGAAATCTAAAGGAAGAATTATTCTTCATTCAAGTTTTCAAATAAAATCAGTGTCTGTGTTCAAGAAATTATCAATTAACAATGTAATAAAAAAAAGTGATAAAAATAAAATGAATGTTCAAACATTCTGAATGAAAAATACGAGCAAGACATTCAAATAAATCCAAATCAGTATATCAAGTTTCTGAATGAATAACATTCCTTCATATCACTCATTACAATTCAACAAATTTTGTGATGCAACCCTACCTTCTTTCTCCACTGCTCCAACCCCCCGGATTTTCTGTCGAGTGATCCAGCACTCCCAGTGCTGTCAGTGTCCCCCCCACCTCCAATGACCCCAGAGAGGTGGATTGCAGTCCAGGCCAGGGGCATCCTGTACCTCCCCAGACGTTCGCAGGCGGCCAGGGCAGCTGCCTTCACCTTGTCCCTGTTCTTGTCGTCGCGCAGATAAGGCTCCGCACACTCTGAGATGTCACCCTGGAGGACCTTCTCCAGTCTCACCACCAGAAACAAATCTGGACTGGGTTTACTGATGCTCAAGACACAGCTTCTGGCCAATGTGCTGGCGTCGCTGTACGCAATGTGCCCCCCCAGCATTCTCTTCAGGCTGTCGGAGTTCATGTCGACGTAAAAATTTTCGGAAACTTTTTTCCTCTCCCTCGCGTCGTAGAGGGCCAGACAAGCGAAGATGGGCTCAACCTCGAGTTCAAGCTTCAGCTGGAGGCACTTCACCAGGACTCGGTGGGAGAAGGGCTCCGAGGGCTCGACAGCTGCTGTTATCTCCTGCCATTCGTCGTCGGGGGACGTTGGGAGGGCGTAGAGGGGGAAGACTGCCTCCTGACGGTCCTCGCAGCGTTTCTGCTCGTTCACCTGGTCGACTGTCTCTGGGCAGACCCGATCGAGGATCCCAGGGAGCAGAGGGTCGTGCTGGGAGTGACGCAGGTCCAGGCTCGCCCAGGAGCCTCGAGGGGTCTCGGTGCACGAGAGGTCCTCCTCCTCTGGGGAACCTGAGCCAGTGTCCTCCTGGTCGACCTCGAAGTCTTGGCGAGGGGTGTCTTGGAGGAGGCGTTCGCGGGCAATTGGGGAGATTCGCCCTTTGTATTTACGGTGGACTACCAGCCAGTCGGAGGTGAACGTGTCGATACATCTGCAGAGGAATGGGTAATCGACTGTTTTTATTTTCCGTTATTTTTCGAAATTCATCTCATTTTTTCAACTTCCAGTGAATATTCCATAAATAAAACGAAAATTTTACTGATTATTTCACGTTACAATAATATTACTCGTGTATAATCATGTGATCAGTTATTTTTTCTATTGATCGACATTTAAGAAATAAAAAAAAACCCAGTCGTTCGGAAATTACGGCTTTCGGCTGCATTCAACTATTTCTTAATTTAATTATTCCATAGATCGGCATCAATCCGTATTTTTAGTAATATTATGAGATGTTGCGCCTTATAGTAAATTAGATTTAGTTATTTTAATTGAAATTTGAAGATTAATATCATAATTTGTGTTTCTTAATTATTCCCCAAAAAAATTGGTGAGTGATATTAACAATTGACTCATTCCAAATTTAACTGTAATTCAAAATTTCGATTATGCCGATGTCTGAATTACTCTTTGTTTTGTCATTTTCACTTCAAATAATTTTTTTCTCCTAATTAAAATATCCTTGAAGGTATGAAAGCCATCATATCCCCATTTAGGTGATTCTTTTATTTTAAATCCTACCACGTCCAGCAATTGGCTTGTTCACCCTATTCGTTAAACGCGAAATTTACAATTTTTCGTGTCAGCATAACTAATTTTGGTCTGAGGACTTCGAATATACTATTTTTATATTCTTCCCAATGATCTGTCGTTGCAAAATAAAACATTTTGAAACGAATATTCAGGGAAAAGTGACAAATTTAACGTTTGGGCAATGGTGAAATCAATGAATCATTGAATTCAATTTGAATACATCCTCATAGAAATTCCATTCGGAGGCAAATTGCTATTGTTAATTTATTAACAAAAATATATTAATTATGTTGTGACGAGAGCAACTTCCCAGTCGTTTCATCGTTTACTCCATTGAAATCATGAAAATAACATGAAATAACCAGAATTATGAATTAAATTATTATCCATTCGCCGAATAAACTGTTTTAAATATCCAAAATGGACAATCCATTCATTCTAAATGAGTCGTCGATTAGAATATTAAATAGAGTTTATTTTATTCAAATATTCAATAGAGTATTCCTCTGGCATGTCCCAGGTCTTGATAGATCTTTCGATCCATTAATTCACTCACTAATTACCTTCGAACGTAAGGAGACACTGTGTCAAGCGATTCAAAAGGAATCACCGGCTCCTCAGTCCTGATTTTCCTCTTAATCACTCTCAGCTCGACATCCCCAGGGGGAAAATCCAGGATTGGTCGCAGCGGATCCCTGTCCAGGATGGTCTGATGCTGATTGAGAAAATCCTCGTAGTCCAGTGGCTCCAGCACCTCGCAGAGGGACATTGTCGAGGAAAAACCCGAAACACTGCTCCCACTCTTCGACAAATCTCTGGAGTACGAGGTGGAGCTCGCGATCTGTCGTCTCACGTCTGCTGCATGCTGCTTGCTCAACTTGTGAGCAAAGGCTCGTTGGACTGACGACATCTTTGGAATGTGACGTGCGTCTTCTGCAGAATTATCAATTGTTGAATCACTTCGTCGATTGTTGGGCACAATGGAGGCGATTGTGGAATGAATTATTCATTGTTTGACAGGACAGATGAGGTTAGATGTCCTCGAAGAGGGCCTCGATGCGGTATTTCGCTGGATGTGGGGACTTCTTGGGAAAGGACTCACCTCAGAGTGGCACAGCTCTATGGAAACTTCATTCCAGAATTGCAAATTTGGGGAAAGCAGTTATTTATTCATTTTATAATGCGAGAAACATACTCTCTCTTCTGATTTTCATAAACGTGGAGAGGGGACTGACGGGACTGACTTCATGAATTTTTCGCGCGACGTCTGGGGGACGGAAGCAGCACTACTTTCAAAAAAAGTAAAAAGTAAATGCTAATACCTCAGTTGAAAAATCAAACTGACGGGTCATATGGAACTCATTGAGAAATTCAGTATATTCGATGATCTATGAGTTTATTCCAATGATTAAAGCGACGAACGAATTTTTTATAATTGCTTCCTTTCTTCGTCTCTCTGATTTGTAATTTATTAAAAAAACAACAGTTCTGAAGACAGTAAAAAAGACAGTTTTATAATGAATCAATAACTCTTTAATAAAAATCGTTACAATGGTTTTTGTTATTTACAAATGTTCATTCAGTACAATTCACCGTTTCTTCTTCTTCATAGTTTTGGTTTCTTTCATTTGGCCACACGAATAATTGTGGTAATACAGTAGCCACGAGTACAAGACCCCAATAGCGCAGTAAACAGAAGTTCCAGCGAGAGGTAAGAACGGTAATTTTTCGCCGAAGACAATTCTATGGATGAGAGTTTCGTAGAGAGTCACCAACGGGAGAACTGCGACATACAGCCACTCGTGGATTTTCAGTAATGAAGTCCTGTGTAATTTTGGGAGACAGACGCACGAGGCTGCGGAATAGGTCAACAGCATTGTGATTTTGAGGATTGTGAGGTTTTTAGGGAAGAGTAAAGGTAGAATCGAGGTATGACCTGCGGCGCTGAGGATCATGAACACTCGGGCATTGAAAGAGTCGAGTGTAGCTAGAACACTGCAGAACAAACGAGATTAAACACATTGATTCACGTACGAAAAAGTTTTACTTACCACAGTGGCACAATGGCAGTTAAAATGGCTTTTTCATGGACATGCCAACCGAAGATGAATGAACTGAGGCCACATAAGACGAGACATTCGACAAAATCACGTGGCTTGAGCAGGTTTTGTTTCCTTTTGAAGAGAATAATGAGAGCTGGCTGTAAACGAATAAAATTGGTCTATGAAATTCTCCATTGCAAAGGTTTCTCGATAATTTTTCGTGATATTTGTGACTGATATAATAGAATTTCGTCTTTCGATACAACTTTTTCTATCGATACATTTTCAACAGGAGAAATTCAGAAAAAGTCAAACAAAAAAATTTAGAAAATTTGAGAAAAATCGAATTCTATTGATTATTATTCCTTATCAGACAAAAAATAATAGGAAATTCCATAGAATTTGCTATCAAATTCGTCAGATTTTTCTATTCAATTTTTTTCGTACGTGTATACTTACCAGAATAGCTAAGAATGTCGCGATGAACGCGACAAGTGGCGTTGGAGTAGGTAAAACACTCAATTCCCCTTCCTGGACTAGTCCACCAGTCATGGCAGCAGTTTTGGTCGTCGTCGGCAAGCCCAGTCGTTTCCAAACGAGTGATAACATCTTATCAGCCCCTATATAGAGAGCCCAGGCATTAGGAGCCCAGTAGGCATGCACCAGGCCCCTTTTGAAGGGGAATAACCTCGATAACACCTGTACAAAGCAACCGTTCATCATTGAACTAAAAATTTCGTGCAAAACTTGAGGAATTAGGACATCAATATTCACCTCCGGCAGTTGAGTCATGAATGGTCCGAAAGATACAGCTAGAACAGTGAGAACTATCCCTCCAAGCTGAATCAATCGAAGGAAGAAATGGCCAGACCTTAAACAGTACCACTTCAGCAACCAAACGATGAATGGAGGTGCCACGTACAGATAGAGATGCTTCAGGTTTAACAATACTGCAAATGCACCTGCACCCACTAGAGTACTCATCTACAAATTGAAATTCGAGATTAATTTCTTTACAAAATCCTAAAGTTAATCTATGCATTCGTCACAATTCCTTAATTTGAATAAAATGAACGATTCATTCTATACAAATGAAGGATTGTTCAATGTTAATAAATTCGTTCTCTTCGTTGTCTAAACTTGAGGAACAGTCCGTTTACTTCAAGACTTATCCACTTCATTTGATTAAGAATGCGAACAAAAATGAGTTTAAGTTTAGATGAAATGGCTCGTAATAAGCCGTTCATACCTGATCTTGTTTAGATACATTGGCAATTGCGATCAGTAAAATTCCCAGGAGAAAGCCATTATACTGAAAGTGAATATGATCCACTACCAATAATCCCATATTACACAGAGTTAAGAATGAGAATGCAGCGAAACTGTTGAAGGAAGTGGAATAAACCTTTCCCATTCTGCAATACGAAAATTCAGTTCAGTTTATTCAATTCAATTTTATTTTTTTTTCATTTAAGCAATTCAATTCAATTAATTTAAATTCATAAATGGGTTATGTTATTCTCCCCACTTACTCTCGTACTCCATACACCAGAGCCAAATCCGAAATCATCACCGTTGCCCTCTGGAACAGGACTGTCCTCCCAGATGCATAATTCAAATTATCCACCTTTAGCATCTCCGGATCCACAAGCTTCCCGAATTGACTCAACAGCCACTCGAACCAGGCGAACAGAGGTGGATAATCTAACGTCCATTCTGACTCTGAGTTGGTGTACCACTCGTTAATTGGGAGACTATGAGTTATTGCTAGCCAATTTCTGTGGACTTCGAAATCCGTTGAATGACTAAAATCATAAAGCATTGTGCTGTCCTATTGAGGATGTTTATCCTGAATCGTAAGCACGCAGAAAATTTTCAACCTTCCGACCCGAAGGAAGAAATGTTATTATTATAATTGTAATTATTTTGATTATTGCAATGACCCGGAAAATCGAATGTGGAAACTTCATGATTTATCAGTGGAAATTTTCAGGAATTGGCATTAGATGTTGGGTTTATAGGTAATTTTATAAAAAAATTCATTCGCATCTGGAGACTACAATAATGAAGTGGTGTTATGAGGTAGGTCAACCCCACATCAACAACATAAATGAACATGAGTGTCATTTATGAACCACAAACAATAAACTGTAAATAATCCTGTGATGAATTACACGTACGAAGAAATTAAATAGAAAAACCTAGCCCATTGTGTTAAACTTTCTATTAGTTTTTGGTCGATTCTATTGAAATGCGTAGAAAAAGGCAATAGAATTCGATTTTTCTATACAGATTATTTTATTGAGATATTTTCTATAGAATTTTCTGGGCTGAAAATTTCCAAGTGTTTTTCAGTCCACTTTTCTTTTCTTTTCTTCAACAAAATTAAACAAATGAACTTGGAAAATTTGGGCAGAGGAACACCTGCAGAAAATATCTCAACAGAATAAGTTGTACAGAAAAATTGAATTCTATTGACATTTTCTCTGAATATTTTCTACTGAGCATTTCAATAGAATCGGCCAAAAACTAGTAGAGTTCAATAGAAATCCTATAGAATTGTGTAGTGAATTCACTAGGTTTTTCTATTAAATTTTTTCATACGTGTATTCATGCGATTTTTTAATAATAAAATTATGCATTAGAAATTTGTAATATTTGGTTTTAAAATTCCGGTATACTTTCCACTCTCAAATGACACATCTTGTAACAAATATAAAAGACAAAACTCACGTACTACGTGGGCACTAAGAGCACCTTGATGGAGGAAACAAGAGCAAATGTTTGGAGCAGCAATTTGTCCCTCGACCACTGGGTATTGGCCTCTCGGCAGACCTTCTGGCTCTCCTTCATGTGCGATTCTTGTTTATGTGCACGTGGTGACATTATTACTATTAATTACAAAGTGACGTGGAGAGTGCCGGTATTGTTTACGTCTCCCCGGAGCGACACCCCGAGGTTAAGAATTCCATCGGTATTGAAGGAAACTGGATTGTCTCGAATCATTTCGAGAACGCAATTTCGAAAAATTTCTTCCCACTTCGAATGTCTCGGGAATTAGAATTTCGACGAAAATATGCGTCAGAAAAGTTTTTTTCATCACGCTGTGACGAAAAGTGAACTTTTAGGCACGCGGAGCGACACCCCGAGGTTAAGAATTCCATCGCTATTGAAGGAAACTGGATTGTCTCGAATCATTTCGAGAACGCAATTTCGAAAAATTTCTTCCCACTTCGAATGTCTCGGGAATTAGAATTTCNTTCCCTAGTTTATTCACAAAGAATACATCCCCATAAAGCCAAGAATTAGGTGTCGGCTAGGGAATTTGCCATTTCTCGCAGACGTTTCTTCGAAATTTTTCCTGAGATTACGCAAGGCATTGTTTCTAAAATCTTCACAACTCCCCGGAGTCTCATGTGATCAGGCAAATTATCCTCGATGAGTTTGACGATTTCCTCTTCGGTTACCTGTCGACACGTTATTAGAAATGGTCAGTGAAAAAATAGCTATTTTCATCACGCTGTGACGAAAAGTGAATTTCCGCCACATTGTGATGAAAAATATTGTTCGTAACTCGTGAAAAAACACTTTTTTGCACTCGTTACGAAATATACTATTTCGGCCGTATGATGACATTTTTTCACGAGTTACGAACAATATTTTTCATCACAATGTGGCGGAAATTCACTTTTCGTCACAGCGTGATGAAAATAGCTATTTTTTCACTGACCATTTCTAATAACGTGTCGACAGGTAACCGAAGAGGAAATCGTCAAACTCATCGAGGATAATTTGCCTGATCACATGAGACTCCGGGGAGTTGTGAAGATTTTAGAAACAATGCCTTGCGTAATCTCAGGAAAAATTTCGAAGAAACGTCTGCGAGAAATGGCAAATTCCCTAGCCGACACCTAATTCTTGGCTTTATGGGGATGTATTCTTTGTGAATAAACTAGGGAACCTATTATATTCTATTCGAAAAATATTGCAGGATCATTTATCTAATCCGTTCATATGAATTCGGAAAGGGAAAATTCTTCGCGCTCTACTCTCACGATGTTCTAAAGAACTTTCTACAGAAATTGAGTTGTGCAAAAAAAAAATCGTACGGAATTTCATTCCAAATTGTCCACGGGATCGTTCTACAGAATTTTCCATTAGAATTTCTATGGGACCAGTCTGATGTGGTTGGAAAAATATCAATAAATATGAACATGATCAAACCTCTGCGTAAACACAACAATAGTCTATAGTCTATTTATAGCATCATTATGACTTTGCAAGGATCATCATCTGAAATTGCTGCGCCATTCTTGCTCTGCGTTACAATCTGAATTTCTAATTCAACTTCTCGTGATGATTGATCGTTATTGCCCCATGTCAATTGTTATCATCACGCAATGACGGACTACAAGAGATTATGCAGTTCTTAGGAACACAATGACTTGCAATTTTTATATTTGCTCTTGCGACATGGGAGAACCGAGTGCAATTAACATGTGTGGAAGAGAAGAGAATGGGCGGGGGAGAGATATTCCCACTTGTATCCTACTATTAATCCGAGTATTGAATATTTCATTGACAACGCGGAGAGAAATGTTCAGTGAAAATTACGGCACTCGCAATTCGCTCACCGATTACGGGACGACTCAGGAAATTTAAGTGACGGTATCGTGATTTTTCACAGGAGATTCAGATAAAAATTACGGAACGCTCTGGAAAAACTCCGTGACAGTTCCCTAAAATTTCCTACAACCACATTTCGCTCTGGAATTACGGGAAAGTTAGGGGAGGGTGGGGTAAAATGGGCTCTTTTACCTTTTTTTGAAATATTCATGACGTGTTGAGTTGTTCATGAAAGGGAATAATTCTATTTTTCAATTGGAAGAGCAATGATTCCTCTTTGTGATGAGCTGCGACTGAGCTCAATTGACAAATCTGTTTCTGAGTTATGAATATTTTTAAAAAACGTCATTTTTCTTGAATATTTCTCTCCGTGAAAATATGCACATTCATGCGAACATTTTTGATGCAGTAAATGGTAAATTCTGCAGTTTCGGCACAAACTATCCTCACGTTCAGTAAATTTCCCCGAGTCAGTGGAGAAGAATTCACTACTGACTTCGCAATTTTTCCCAAATACATTGCAAAAAATGCAAATTTCGCAAAGGCTCTTCGGGCAAAGTTTCCGGGAGTCTGAGAATTTCGGGAGATGGCGGAGACGCTGGCAAATGTGTGAGAAAGTGACTGCCAGTCCATGTTTTCCAGACCGCAGAGCTGGCATTATAAATAAGAACACCATATCTCGTGCAAATTTCAACATATGTAGTGTAGAGTGCATCGTGGGGAATGATAAATCCACTTCTCATGCGGTAGGTATTGTGTTATAAATGAAGCCGGGAAACAACTCTATTCGCAGTTATGCATTCGCTCTCGACGAATACACGATTTTACTCAATCTTCTGGTAGAGAAATGCTCGATTGGTTAGCTGTTTCATTCCTTTTGTTGTCAGGTAGATCGGTTACATAGTTGAACGGCCGTCATCAGTCGATTCCGATCGATAAGATAATTCGCGAAGAGTGAGTACATTGAGGTCCAGTTTGGCACAGTGGATTATAGTGTATACATTTGATATCTTGACATCGAGGGAAAACGTTCTGCTCAGGTGGCGTTTAATGTAAAAAAAATGTCTGAAGTTGAAGATAAATCTCAAGTAAGAAAGGTTTAAACGGTCTTCGCACCGTTTAATGGATAAGTTATTTGAAAACTATTTCAGATAAAAGTCACTTGTGAGAATGGCGTTTGGACGCGAATTATCGAGCCTCCAGGCGATTCCTGGCAGACTTTTGGGCAGACACTTCTGGAGCGTATGAAGGAAGTGCCGAAACGCGTTGGTCAAGTATGTAGAAATCATAGAATGCCTTGTTAGAAAATTGCTCTTGAAATTTCAAGTGAAAAAACTTGAAATTTTTAACAACGATAAAGTTACATGAAATTTCTGTAGAATTCTTCATTAACCAATCAGTTAATTTCTTGAATATTCAAGTAATTCACGATTTTCAGGTCCATACGGCACTGAAAAACCTTGAAAATTTTGAAAATTTAGGCGATAACTTCTTTGAATTTTCAATTTATTGAAAATTGAATTGTATGTGAGTTTGGAAATTCAAGCTTTCATTGAAAAATCAATGATTCTGTAACATGGAAAACCGATTTTTTTTTGAGTTTTCAAGATAAATGAGAAATTTAGTGAACGTTTTCATTTGAAATTGAATTCAAACTCACAACAATGAATATTCAGATGACATTGTGACTGAAATTTCAAGAAATTTCTAACAGCGATCGATGTTTCGACTGAGACAATAATTATATAACTATAATTCACGGAGAGCAATTCTTTAGAAAATTGTAGTGCTAGCAGCGGAAATGACCGTAAAGTGCATGGTAGGAAAAAAACTCCAGTGCTGGCACTAGAAATTTTATTGGGCGGCGCTTGAATGTTTCCCGCATCGATAGGGGAGAATGGGTCTGAATGAAACAGCCGAAGATCGACTATTTGACGCAATTCAAGCAAAAAAAAAAATTTTTTCATTAACTTTTGTTTATCAACGTTTTTTATTACTGGGGGTACTGATGAGAATAATAATTCTCTATTCGCCTTATAATTCAATTGATTAGATTAGGCCGATTACACTTTTCTTTCTTCATTCGATTGAAATTCAGCATCCCATTTTCCTTTTTAAATGAATCTATTGACAAAATCTTTTCCCGTCAAAATTTCTCAATCATTTTCCATTCTACTGAATGCACAATTATCATTCTCATCAGTACTCCCAATAATAAAAAAAGTTAATAAACAACAGTTAATAAAAAAATATTTAATAAAAAAAATTGTTTTGCTTGAATTGCCCCATTCTCCCCTGTATAAAACTTTCAATGAAATCCCCAAAAATTTGAACAGAAATCCCGATCAATTTTATCGCTAAAATCATTCTGTATAAATACAATTCGTTTTTCGCATCATAAATCACTTGATAATTTCAAATAAATTGACTACTACATCATCAATCAGTAATCGCCATTAGAGATTGTCGACTACTGAGATGATATTTAATCAGTGATACAAATTACAAATTACAAATACAAATTGCCATTACATTGATAATTCTCATATCTCATTGGAGATCACCAAACATCAGTTACTTCTGTAATTTTATCAGACAATATTTCTAAAGTGATAATTACTGATTGAGAACAGATTGATGGATTGACTGGGGAAGAAGACACTTACGCGTCCATGTGGGATCGAGCAGTGCGCTGCGCCCTGTGGCTGAGAAAACAGGGTGTCAAACCCGGAGACTTCATAGGAATCAGCACCCACAATCATTTAGACACTTTTGTTCCGGTTCTCGCAGCGATATTCACCGGAGTTGTCTTCCATCCCTGGTGGGATGTGAACCTCGACGACGGTGCGGTAATTCAATCCACAAAATACTATCAATCAGCAATTCTCCAGTCGTCTTACCCATTTCAATTTTCCAGATATGGTGAAATATTTTCTGGAATTGGGAGAGCCAAAGGTGGTGTTCGTAAGCGAGAAGGTAGCTGAGACTGTTCAGAAAGTAATTGATGATCTTGGGAGAACGACGAAAGTTGTCGTCTTCGGGGATTCCCCCGGTTGGGTGACTCTGCACGATGTTCTGAGGGAACAAGACCCCGAAGATGTGAACAATTTCGAGTGCACGAGAATTGAAGATATAAAACAGCCGGCTGTCATGATCTGCACATCGGGATCCACTGGATATCCAAAAGGCGTTCTCCATTCGTACTTTTGGCTGGAGAAGTGCTCGTATATTGCTCCAGATAAGTACGTTGCGAACAGCATCAACTTTTGGTTTTCCGAAATCTGTTGGATCAGTGGAATTGGATGCACCTTGAGTTTACTAAGAAACTGTGCCACAGCTGTGATATATTCACGGCCAACAATAGATATTGTCTGTGCATTAGTCGAAAAGTATAAAGTAAATAACGAGTTCTCTACATCTTCTGATAAATCCTCTATTGAATATCAAATTATGCCTGCGTATTTGTTCATTTATTCATCAGATCAATAATCTTATAATTGGCGCCGCAACTGCAAACCATCTTTACAAATTGGAAGGCATTGAGAATTACGACCTGTCATCCGTGAAGTACGTAATTTTTGGTGGTGGAGGTGTCAGTGAAGAGGTCGATAAGAACATGTTGAGAATATTTCCAACTGCTGATCTATCCCTTGGATACGGTGAGTTTCCACCTAGATGCAAGCACGAAAAATTTAATGGAAAAATCTAGCGATTCGTTAGAAAGTTCTATTGAATTTTTATTGAACTTTCTATTAGTTTTTTAACGATTCTATTGACAAGTTCAATAAAAAATATTCAATAGAATAAGTTATAAAACATTATTAATTCATAATACTTAATAGAATAAGTTATAAGTTATAAAAGTTGAAAAACTTGGAAAACTTGAACCGAGGAAATTCTAAAGAAAATATTTCAATAGAATAAGTTAAATAGAAAAATCGACTTCGCTAGGTTTTTCTATTCATTTTTGTCCTCCGTGTGATAATAAACTCTGAGAGACCATTAGTCCCCTGAATATTTCCTATGGACTTTGATACAGCCAACAATTGGTCACTGCAGGGATGACGGAAATGGGAGTTATCGTACGGCGAGAGGATGCGCCCAAAAAGTTCAGTTGTTGTGGAAAAATCCGAGAAAATTGTCAAATGAAACTCGTCAATGTAGACAGCGGGGAAACGGTGGGGCTCAATGATCAGGGAGAAATTTGTTTCAAGTCACCCTATATGATGCTCAGATACCACAAAGATCCGAAGAGCACTGCGGAGGTCATCGATAAAGAAGGTAGACCTTGCGAGAATTTGTAAAATTTCGAAAAATGATGGTATTCTTTCACTTCAAAATCCAGGCTGGTATCATTCCGGTGATTTGGGGTATGTCGATGCAGACGGTGATCTGTTCGTTATTGATCGGCTCAAAGAAGTAATCAAGTACAAACAAATCTTGCCAGTGCCACCATTGGTAGTAGAAAGAGTCATCCTGGAGCATCCAGACGTCAGTGAAGCTGGAGTTGTCGCAAAGCCCGATTTAATGGACGTAGAGCGGCCGATGGCTTTCATCACAACCCGTGCTGGTTCCAAAGTAATGCAATCACATCTTCATCTCAATTGTGTTGAGTTCGTGGGTGGGAGGCATGATAACTCGGTGTAGTTTATCCAACTTCAACTCTTCATTGAGTTGCACTTGGAAAATCCATCTCGATCGTCATTCCACCTCTGACTCTTCTTCTTCTATTCGTTATGGTTATATCCTCACTCAAAGATAGAGAGGCAAGCACCATCACCTCTGACTCTCTGGTACTGACATTTAAACTCAAAGAACAAGTACTCCGAACCACGGATGACTGATACTCTCTGTATTCTTCATTCCATCATCTGTTTATACTAGTCGGAGTCATCCGTCATCCGGTCGCCATGAAATATAAATAAAATACAAACACCCTTTATCGCGAATAGCTCATTGATTCCACGTTTCAATATTCGAAACTGAATGGAGAGAGATTCGTCAGTAAAACTTTGTTGAGCGATAAACGATTCGCTGTCTTCAATCCATGGATTTTAGTAATACTATTCTATCACCGATTTTCAGGTGACTGAAGAAGAAATCATCAAGCACGTTGAGGATAATCTCCCCGACCACATGAGACTCCGGGGAGGCGTGAAGATTCTGGAGAAAATGCCTATTACGCCGTCAGGGAAAATTTCGAAGAAACTGCTGCGAGCTATGGCGCAGTCTCTGGTCAATTAATGACTTTGAATTAAATCGAAATATATCAAAGAAATGTATTTCCTGTTTTGACATCGTCAATTTTAATCGTGCAATTCTTTTCCGATCATTTCCTCTTCATATTGGGAATTCGAAAGATTCCACGAAATTCTTGAAGTTCCTGACGAAGCTTCTGGGCTTCACGATGTCTCTGATATTTTAAAGGTGAATCCTTTGACATCACACGAAAGAAATGTATAGGAAAACCTAGCGATTTCGATAGAAAATGTATTGGATTTCTAGTGCACTTCTGTTGAATATTCTATTAGTTTGTGACCGATTCTATTGAAGAATTCTGTAGTCTTATTACACGAAAAAAATATAAAATTGTTTTTACTGTTGAAAATAGTAAAAGTTAAGAATTGGTACAGTAGAAAGTGGTAGAATAAATGTAAAGTCCTTTAATTTGGCACGAGTAAAAATTAGGTCAAGATAAATCAATTTTCAAAATTATTCCGGTACGGTCCTCGATTACTATGTTCACATTGTAAGTTTCAATTTCATATCATCACCCTGTACACGTTTTTTTTATAGAAAATGTTCAATAGAAACTATTTTATAGAAATAAATTGTAGAATTTCATCTTTCTACAGTTTTCCACTATTGTTCTCCTTTTTTTTCATTAAAAGAATTTTAAAAAATGACATTTTTTGTACGAATTTCATTCAATATTTCAAGGAATTCCAATAACATCCATACATCACACTTTATGATTGATGATTCCCTCACTAATCTCCTCCAGATTACGTCCAGAGGTTGTTCCTATTCCGAATATTCGTATTCTTTCAACAACTTTCTACGCAATGGAAATTTATCTCACCCCCGACTCACAAGAGTTCCAGCTGAAATGCTCACTCCAGGTAAAATTTCACAGAAACGTTTCTCTTCAAGCAGAAAGGCCAAGTCAATATCTAATCTCATTCCACCGAAATCCAATTGCATAACATCCGCGACTCCCCACAATTCGAAAAAAAATTAATGTACACAGTCAAAACCCAAGTAAACAATCCAACGATTATGTCAGATCGGGATATGAGCGATCCCGGAGAATTTTCCGTATTTTTGTTATTGCATAAATCGATAAAAATGGCAAAAAAATACGGTCACGATGGGGGAATAAAATAACTGATGATTCGATAGCTTCTATCTGTTTATTTCTGTCCTAATCACGTGCTGAATGGGTGAATTCATTGATAAACCATCATGCACGTTTATCATGCACCGTGGGCCTAAAACAAACAGCGAGAGCTGTCCGGGGGCTGAGGCGACCTATCGAGTTTTACGAGGCTAGTTATCCTCATGATAGAAGATCAATAATTCTTGGAAATCTATCGCATAAATGCCAGCGAAGATCCCATGAAATCTCTCGGTCTCTTTTTATAGCAACTCTCAGAAATGAATAAAAGACAAATGCATGAAGTAACATGGTACCTAATACCAACATATCAATAAACATTGATGGACGTAACTCTATCGCACTGAGATAGCGGAGTCGCTATCTATGCAGACTGGACGACCCAATTGACTCGTGCAAAATGCCGACTGAAATAATCCGAAGAAATCGAATGGATCCAAACTTAACCCCGTTGCTATGTCTTTCGATTTATCTTACTCTACTACTGGAAATCGACGGATATTTTCTCAAGCGATTGAAGTCTAGTGCAGATAATAACATCTGCCTAAAAAGGAAAAACGAACATTTTTGTAAAAAAAACTGTCCCAAAAAAATTTTTCGGTTGGTTCGTCCCGGAAATTGATCTGATGATTTTTATTATTTTATTTTATTTAGGGGAGGGTGGGGCAAAATGAAACAGCCGAAAAACAACTATTTGACGCAATTCAAGCAAAAACAAAATTTTTTTGTCAACTTTTGTTCATCAACTTTTTTTATTATTGGCAGTACTGATGAGAATAATAATTTTTTATTTGTCTTTTAATTCAATTGATTACAATTCAATTGATTAGATTAGGCCGATTACACTTTTTTTTTCATTCGACTGAAATTTTGTATCGCATTACCCTTTTTCCCTCTCTGGGTCTTCCCCTGGGCCTTCCGATTTTGCCGTTTCATTTTCTTTTCAATTAATCCATTAACAAAATCTTCTCCCGTCAAAACTTCTCAATAATCCCATTCTACTGAATGGAAAATTATTATTCTACTCAGTACTCCCAATAATAAAAAGAAATAATAAACAAAAATTAACAAAAAAAATAGTTCATGAAAAAAATTTTTTTTTGCTTGAATTGCGTCAAGCCGTCGTATTTTCGACTATTTCATTTTGCCCCACTCACCCCTATTTATTTGAAGTACATGCCTGAGTGAGTACATCCTAATTAATAATTCATACTGTTTTATCAATTACTCGATTGTCCGCATAATTTCAAGCCGTCACACTGAAAAAATGGCTTATATTCTCCATATTTCAAGTTGGACTTATGTCCTTTTCAACAATCAATAATCGCCTACCACGAAAAGCTTGATTTTGAAGAATTCCCAGGATGAATAAGAAATTCCAAGAACGATTTAATCATAAATTGCATTCAAATTCACAACAAAAAAATCAAATCCCACTGTTAGTTGAATTTCAATAGATTTTGAACCGTGTATGAATAAAAATTTTGTTCAATTGAACGGAAATTGAATTTCCCCGACAATAAAAATCGTCTGACATTTGTCTGTAAACCCACACGAGGTATTTTCAGAATAATGTGCAAGCAAATTTTTCCGATCACCCCCATTATCCGCCACTTCATCCGAGAATAAAATTCGTCAGTTAATTACACGTAAATACCAAGAGTGACGTATCTCTTCTAAATATCAATTTATTTCAGAGCAGATTTTAAAAATAGCTTTCCCCTCGTGTGTCCATATCACTCCGTCTCTCCTCGTCATCTTCATTCTCCGTCGAGGACATCGATCTTTCTGAATATACATCTAACAGGAGTATGAAATTCTCAAACTATACCTCGTGTGACTAAGAAAAGATAATACGGGGGCTTTAATGTTATATTGAACCATCTCTACCATCGCTCTGACCACGTGTTGACGCGCAGACAAGCGCCCTTCTGTCACGGACATCATGTCACCACTATAAGTCGACTATAAAATCTACCACCGGCTTCAGTTCGCCTGGAGAACTCGCGGATGACAGGAGTCAAGTTGTTTCTCATTCCCAAAGTTCACTCCCCCATTTCATAAAAATTGAATTAATCGTAAAAAATGAAGCATTTCCAATAATGCGAAAAATTCAGTGCAATTGTTAAAAATTGACTGAAGATAATCGCAAATTTTAAACCAAAAAACGCGTCGTTCAATTTCTGGGACAACAAATTTTAGCAAAAATCTTGGAAAACAGTGAATTTTTGTCAAATTATCTCCCAGTGAAGTTATTCCGTGCAAATGTCGCAGTTTAACTACCTGAACTTGATGTTTATTATTTCCCTCGTGTTGGGCGCATACTGGTGTGTCGAGAGTGCACCGTTCCCAAAGACAATAAGACTGTGCTCGAAGGGTCTCAGTGATGCTCTTTACCTCGTCTGCTGGGGTCGCGGCTACAACGAACCCGTCCCCTACACCGGTGGCAGGCACTCCAAGCGGTCCAGGTCCTATGATACAGGACTCGTCGAGGAGTGCTGCCATCAGTCCTGTAGTTTACAGCACCTCCAGCTGTACTGCAAACCACTCGCGTCTGGGGAGAATTCGAATGAGGGAATGTAAGGGCAATTACACTGTTATCAATTTTTGGCTGAAATTTCAGGTGAACTTTTTTGGAAATATTCTATGTCATTATAATTCCCCTGAAATTTGAAATAATCTCCAAGAACAATTGAATCACAATGTGTGTGTGTGTAACATTTTTGTTAATTAGGCGATGAAAATATTGAGAGACTGTTTCCATTCTGAATTTTTTCGACAATAAAAAATGTCTGACTTTTTTCTGTAGAATGTTTCTTAAGGATTTCCAAGTTTTCTACATTTGCAGTCGAACATGACAGCTTTCATTTGACCCTAAGTTTCCGGACATTCTGCAATTATTTTATTATTTAAACTTTGAAGGTCTGAATTTTAGTCTTGTTGGAAAATACTGTAAAAATCTAAAAAAAGTAGAACGTTCACTTTTGGGGGAAATTTGATGAAATAATTAAAAAATTGAAATTTTTGAAAATTGCGAGATTTTCTATAAATAATTCATAAACAATCAATTTTCGATCATAAATAATTTGTTCAGAATCGTAACACATTTATCCATATTCAGAATTTTGCTAGAAATCGATTTCATGCTTATAATAATTAGGTTTCCAAAAGCTTAAACAATTTAAATTATTCAGTTATAAACAACGAATGTTAAAAAAATAAAAATTCTGTGCAGAATGTAATTTTAATGACGCTGAATATTCACGATTTTTTCAATTTTTTTTCACGCAATTTAATTGACAAATTTGACGATGGAAAATGGCTGAACATTTAAGCTTTTATTTGAGCCCCACTTGACCCTAAGTTCCGGGACATTTTACAATGATTTTATTATTTAAAATTTGCAGGTCAGAATTTGAATCTCGACATTGAACCGTTAGAGAACACTTTAAAAATCTGAAAAAAATAGAAAGTTCACTATTGGCAAAAGATTAAAGAAAAAATATTAAACAATTGAAATTTTTGAAAATTACGAGTTTTTCCTATAAATAATTTATAAACAATCAGTTTTCCATCATAAAAATCATTTCTTCGGAATCGTAACAAATTTATCCATATTCAGAATTTTACGAGAAATCGATTGCACGCCTAAAAAATACTTAAACCGTAAAAGATACTTGGATATCCTTAACCCTTCAGAATAAAGAATCAAACATAGACATTCAAGTGTGACTAATAACATCATTAATCTATAATTATCTCCAAAAACAGTCCACTGATAGGGAAATGAAATAGGCGGAGACAAATTTTCGTAGCCTATGAATTTATCTGAGGACCTTCCTTCATTATCGAGCATTTCGGAACTAGCTGATTCAGATAAAAATGCCAACGAACATTCTCCCAGTCCATCAATAAAAGTCTTTCGATAAATATCTCTAACCCTCACTCACTCTTGGACACCAACCGAATACTTCCTAAACAATTTTCGAACTCTATTCATTTACCCAATATTAAATCGACCAGTGGGACATTTCCCTATTTTCGAATGAATGAATTTCGATAAGCCAACTTCCACTCACTGTCTCCTTTCAGACAAGCCCTCGTAAAAGTTGTAAGAATTTGTCAATCATTTGTCTTATCACCCTCGTAACAAGACCCCTTCCACTATCAGACACCAATTTTTTTTTTAAGTTCAAGAGGTTTAACACTCACTGAATGACTGACATTGTTTCTTGTTTACTTGTTTTCTCCGAAAGAACACATCCGCCTAAAAAAATGAAAGAAGAAACACTGAGATAATTTTTTCTTCTAATTTGCAGCGAGGAATCACTGAGGATAGTGAACCTATCGTTCTCACCGAGCCAGACAGTGTCTATTGGGGGAGTGGCGAACGAACCGATACAAAGTAAGAAACGTCATGACAAACACGCTTCCCATCGCGGAAGCGCGCATATTCATGATTTTCGGAATGTCTTTGATAAGCAAACAGAGAGCCTGGGAAATTCAGGGAGGAGACCTAAGGATGAGGGGGAGAGCATGAAGAAGTCTAAGAAGAATGATGATGGGAAGTCATTCTTCGATGACTGCCTACGTCGGCGTAAAAAGTCCCGCCGGTGCACTGAGGTGCTCCAATTATTGACAATCGATCGCACGATTTAATTATCAGATTGGTCCAATTTTATTTTGCTTTTTTTCGCGCGCAACTCGGTCTCGATGACTTATGCACTGCATGCACTGAGTATGATATGGAACGGTTTAATCAAGCACATGCAAAGAAATTTCGTAGAAAATCTAGAGCATTCGCTTAAAAACCGCTTAAAAATTTATATTTTATGGGCATGTTGACTAGAAAACTATTATGTCAAAAAATACTGGGTTTTTATTTTTCTATGGCCCGGTTGCACCAAGCCCAGTTAAGAAAATCCTCACTTAAGTATTGGAATAAATAAAAATAATCTGCCGATCAATTTTGATCGAACGTTTCACGAAGATATTTTCCCCCCAAAAAAACGTGGTGAATCAATAAGAGCGATGGTATCACCAATATCTGCCAATAATACGACTAATTATGAAGCTTTTAGTCGATATTCACGACGGAATGGGCTGAATGAAAATACTCTGGGACGAATTCTTAAAATTGTACAATTGTGGAATAAATGTCTTTAGACATAAATTTATTTTGACGATTTACTTGGTTAACAGGGCTTGGTGCAACTGGCCCTCAGTGAATTTTTTTCATTTGAAAAACTAACAAACAACACTGTTAGAAAATTACTCTTGAAATTTAAAGTCAAAAATCTTTAAATTTTTAACAACGAATTTACATAAAATTTTCATTGATCTTGTTATTGATAAATCAGTCAATGTTCTTGAATATTCAATGAAATTCGATTTCTCAGGTTCATACGACAATGAAAATTACTGAAAATCCTGAAAATTCAGGCAAATTTTCTTCTGAATTTTCAATCTGTGGCTTAATTTTCTCGATAGGCTTGAAAATCAAAATTGTTATTGAAAATTCAATGATTCTTCGTAATGAAAAATTTAATTTTATTGAACTTCCAAGATGAATCAGTAATTCCATGAGCAATTTAGTCTGAAATTGAATTCAAGCTCAGAATATTGAAAATTCGAATGCATTTGTACTTGAATTTCAATAACTTTCTAACAGTGAAACTTGGAAGATTCAAGCACGGATACTTCTATATAGCTATTCCGTCCCAACGGAATAAATTGTACAAAAAAATTAAAACCAATCGTACTCGTATCGTATTTGTCGTACAATATTTTACGCATGGATTTATCTCAGTGAGCAGATTCTTTTTTCATAGAATTCTGCATGATAGTAGTGCCCGAGAGTCGATAGAATTTTCTTGGCACACGGAACGGCCCAAAAATGTGCTCTACATCGCACTGACTTCGAGGGTGCACGCGAAGTTCAAGTAATCACGCACCGGCAAATATCTCTGCTAGCATTTTGGGGAATTTGATCTTCAACGAATGTGGGACGGTGGCATTTTGCGACATGATAACGGCTGCGATAATATCTCACAATGTATGGCTTCGGGTATTTTTGTGTCTGAATGAGAGAGATAAAACGGGAATTTCTAATTTTATTTGGATATCTGTTTTTAGTGAATGTTTTCGAATTGAAAGGACACAATGTTGTTTTCGTAGATAAAAACTCATCTGTTCCAAGCTCAATCCAAATAATCTCGTTTTAGACCTTGGATTCTGTCTTCGTTATCGATCCACGGAGAGAAAAAACAAATTTCTGGAATCAAGTCCATGCTTGCCACAATCAAACATACCATTGTTTTCGGCGAGAATTTCTTTGAGTTGTTGTTGTGAGTGCGTGAGGGGTGGGGAGGGGGAGTAGGGGACTATGGTGAATGTGTGGTGGGGGACGTGCATTATCAGCATTCGCTTCCCCTCTGCCCCCATGCGTGCAACTATAACGAGAGTTTACTGTAGTCAACAAGATTTTGATCGTTGATTGTGACAAACTCAAATGAGTTATTGGGAAAACCATCTATTTTTATCACGAGAATGGTCTATTTGCCTCGATCCTCAGAGGGAGGTTTGCGGCAAGAATTTTTTCTTCTCCCGGAAAATCTTTTTCTCTCTCCACGCGTGAAAAAATTTAAGACAAACCTAGCGCTTTCTCTAAGAAATTCTAGAGAATTCTCAGTGGAATTCGGTGAGAATTCTCTTGGAGTTCCATCAGAATTCTATTTATTTATTATTGTTATTTTGTTAACAGATATTTGATAGAAAAAAGACAATAGATTTTTTTTTCTGTAGTAATTCGTGGGCGTAAAATTTCTGAGTTCCTTTCGCTGTATTTTCATTTATTTAGGAAATTCATGTCCAAGATTTTTTATAGAAAAAATATCAATAAAATTCGTTGTTTGCAAATAAATAATTGAAATCGTTTAAACTTTCGGAAACCTAATTTGTTAAAGCATGAGATCGATTTCTGTTAAAATCAATGGAATTTATAGAATTGGAGCAAAGACCAAATAAATTTTTTTAATTGAATTCTCATAGAGTTTCAATGGAAATTCAATAGAATTTCTTCGATAAAGCACTAGATTTTTCTATTAAATGTTGTCATACTAATCTAGTAATATTTATTTTATTCCCAAATGAGTATTTTAATGCTAAATGATTCTTTTTTCAGACTCAATTGAAAGCTTCACTGAAGAAAGTCCCTAACTTCGTAATCGGCACAATTCTACCAGAACCAAATGGCTCACTTGTACTATTTCCTTCGAAATCTCATGCAGACTACTGTCGAGTTGCGCATAATTTTCCCCCGATATCAACAAGCTCGAAGTCACCCTGAGGAGGTCTGCAATTAGCCCACAGACCCCCAAGAATTCAGCAGAACCCGGGAAAAACTGAATTCAGTCGGGATCGTATGGCTTCCATGGTACAAGAGCATGTTTCCCCATCAAAAATCCGTGATAAAATCGAGTGAAACACTGAACTTGAGTAAATATTTTGTGTATAACACGCCACAACGTACTCCATCGATGTATTTTCTTCAAATGAAGATACCAAATACTTTATTTTCGTTACTTTTACGGATTCCTACGTTTGACGATGCTGACTGATCTCACTAGTATTAAATCGATTTATTTAAATTATTCAGAGGTGTCAGTGACAGGGTTTTTTTAAATAAAAATATTGAATAAAAAATAATACTCAATTTCTCTATTTATTGGATCTATGAACGACAAAGTGCTCCAAGAGCCTCGTCAATTCTTATAACACATTTCCACAGTAGACTACACGAAGAAATAAATTCGAACAAAATTACTATGCAATTTATATGTATTTGAAGAGTGAAATGGTATTCCAAGAATTATTATTCGAAATCAAGAGGAAAATGAGTTTTTCGGCGTGACATGCTGGTGAAAAAGTACTAGGAAGATGAATAAATTTCACCATACTCTCAATGAATTTTTACTGTACACCATTTATCATTTTATTACTGCATTTTTTCCGTCTTTTTTCGTTGATTTTTTTCACAGTGTAGTTAAGATGAGAGTTTCAACATTCATTTGCTCAATACATCGCAAATATGTCAGAGAAGAAGAGGTTCCGGGCAATTTACGAATATTGTGACAATGACAGTAACACCAAGAAATTCTCCAAATACTAAATGATAAAAGGGAGCGGCCCGAACCTTCTTCATCGATAGTATTTTCCAATTCAAATGAAATACCAAATACTTTGGTCTTCCCCCATAAAATCACAAATAAAAATTTCTACATAATTCATAACTTATCCCCTGACAAAATCAAATAAACAATTATCGCACCTAACGATTTAAAATAAAATTTCTCCGCGTGACCTGTTGGTGAAAAAGCACCAGAGGAAGACGGGCAAATTTCACTGTACTCTCACTGAATTCGTACTGTACACCATTGATTATTTAATTTCTGCATTTTTCCGGTCTTTCGTTGATTTTTGTCACAGTGTAATCAAGATGAAAAAATTTCAACATTCATTTGCTCATTATATCGCAAATATGTCAGAGAAGATATTTCGGGCAATTTATCAATATTTCGACAACGACATCAACAACAAAAAATTCCCCAAACACTAACTGATAAAATTGAATCTGATAAATTAAAATTCACGAATAATATTTTCGCATCGGAATGAACCCCTAAATACTTCATGTTTCCCCATAAAATCATAAATAAAAATTGTACGTAACTCAAACTCACCCCCTGATAAAATTAAAAACACCGTTCGCCATCCCCACCGAATTCCAATTCCCCCTCCAACTCAAGACCCCCTAAACCGCCTTATTTTTCCGAACGATGGAATTTCTTGGCGTGCATCAGCGCGCCATACCTGTCCCCCGCAGACCGTGGGCAGTGAGGACACATCCATCGACCCTGATAATGAGCAGACCATATATGATCTATGATTTTTGGTCTAGTGTTGTAAATCTCCGTGCACATCATGCAGATGAACGTCTTGCAGTCTTGCTTCACGAATTTCGAGTAAAAATCAATGTCAAAGTAGGTCGAGGGCGATGGGTAAAGTGGAATATTTCCCACCATGATTCTCCTCTGTTTGCTAGAGTTCCTGGAGAGTTCTTCCTCCAGGTAATTCCCGGGCTCTTCAGCACATCCTCCGTTCTGGGCACCATCATTCGTCGCACCCTCCCCGAGGGCGTGCCCAGCCTCATTTTGGTGATGAGATGGTCCCTCGTCTGTGATTGCCTCAACCTTCACACAGTTCATCGTACCCACAGTGATATCATTCCTCTCCACCCTATTCCCTGCCCTCAGAGGACCCTTCCCTGGTGGGCGCCCCCGTTTCCTCCTTCCCCTGCCCTTCGATTCCTTCAAATCCTTAGGCTTGCCCCTCCCCCTCTTCCTCCCAGTCCCCACCTGTTTCTTTCCCTTTCTCGACCCTGAGCCACGCTTCCCACCACGGACCTCAGGTCTCTCCGGCTCCTCTGCCACCCCAGTCTCCTCCTGCTCAGCACCAACCGCTGGATCACCAGCGACATCATCCACATAATGTTGATTCGAAAATCCCTCTTCAGTGATCACCTCAACCTTCACATAATTCGTAACATCCACCTCGTCGTCCCTCCCTCCCTCGTATTTCCTCATCAGCTCCTCATTCTCCCTCTTCAAACTCTCAACATGTGCTCTCAACTCAGCATTCTCAGACCTCAGAGCAGCCTCCACCTCCTCGAGCCCCTGCTCCCTCTTCGCTTTGGTCTTCAGCAATTCCTCAATTTTTCTGGACAAATCCTCGCAACTTATCCTCAGGTCCTGCTCCCTCGTCTCCGCGTGCTCCAGTGCCTTCTTCAACCCCTCAACACGCTGCTCAAGAGTCATTTTCTCCCTCTCAACCTCACGAAGTGTCGAGATTACGTCTCTGGAGGCTTGCAGCTCCTCCTCCAGCTCATTCACACGTGCTGCCTTCACCAGGAGTGTCTTTCGCTCCTCCCAGAGGATTTTTTCAGTGTTCAATTTCTGGATTTTTACCATACACTGTTGAGACTCAATTCCGTAGTAAGGAGATTGTGGGGGGAGAGTGGGCAAGTGCAGTTCTGACTCATTGGTGAGTTTTTTCGGGGTCATCTGAGCCTCTTCGTCGGGCTCCTGGGGGCTGCCTATGTCTGGGCTCGTGGGTGTGTGTCCCAGCCCTGAGAAATTGAGATTTTTTTTCGTTTTGGAGGTCTCAGGCAACAAGTCCAGGAGCTTCTGCCTCATCGGGGTTTTCATCGGGGAAATGTCGGCTTCCTGGAGGGTTTGGAGGTCCTGGGGGTCCTTCGGGGTATTCTCTATGTCCAGGTGACGCTCCAACTTCTCCAGCTTCTCAAGCTCATTCTTCGCCTGGATCTCCAGTTTCTTCGCCTCTTTTTCCAGGAGTTTTTCGATTTGCTTTCGCAGACCTTGGAGCTGAGTGGTGCTGGTTTCAATGTGGGATAGTTTCGAGCGAAAGTGAGTCCTGAGACGTCGCATTTCCTTGTCGGTTTTATTTGGGTGGGAAGGGTCTGCTGGGTCCAGTCTTGGGCGTTTTGAGGAGCTCCCTTGGAGGGCAGGTTGCGAAGATCGTTTGGTGGTCAAGATATTCTCATTCATCTGGAAGATGGACAGTGTTATGGGTGGTATGAGGTTATATATAACCTCACACTGACAGAAAAAAGATTTTCCAGGGGAAAAAAACTCCTGCCACAAACTCATTCTCAAAATTCAGACAAATGGGCCTTTCTTGCGATAATAATGGCTAGTTTTTCGAAAAACTCATGAGTTTGTTAACAAACTCGAAAATTTAGTTGGTTGACAAGATTTTTACGATCTCAGTCGGTGACTGCAACAAAGTTGAATGAGTTGTTCGGAGAACTGGTCATTCTTGTCACGAGAATGGCCCGACTTGCCTCAGTCTTTCAAATTTTTTTGGAATCCAATGGAGGAAGAGATTGTGACAAGAGCGGACTTGATTCTGGAAATGTTTTTTTTGTCAGTGGATGTGTCAGTTGAGTTCTCGGTTTAAGGTGGGGTTTTTGACTCACTCGTAACTTTTCCATCTTGAGGCGATGCAGATCGATGTTTCATGGAGTTTTATTCGAGTTTTGATGTTTAGGGGGTTTGTGGAATGTACAATGATCTGCTTGATGTGTTTGGCTCAGTATCTTGGTTAGGACATCATGATAAACACACCGGCGGCGCGGAGAGCTCCCGCTATTTCTCGTGCCGACGTGCGCAGGAGAGTGCGCAGGGGAGGAGTTTGACATTTTTCGAAGGGAGCACTTTTGCTGGAAATTGTGGGACTTTCGCGGATAAAAAAATTTATAGATAAACATAGCGATTTCTGTTGAAATTCTGAAAGAATCCTATTGAGAATTCTATTTGTCATTTTGGTAAAACATATTTCCAATGTAAATCAAGAGTAATCAATCAATAAGTAATTGTAATTAATTAATTAATTAATCAATAAGAAAATTTAATGGAAAAACCTAGCGAATTGGTTGGAAAATTGTACTGAAATGTTCAATAGAAAAGGTCAATAGAATTCCATTTTTCTGTATAACTTATTCTATTTAAATATTTTCTATAGAATTTTCTCAGCTGAAATTTTCAGTTTTTTTCATTCTTTTTTTTTCATTTGACAAACCATCGTAGCCCCCTTACCCGCGATGTATTTACGCCAATCAACTTTGAAGAATGCCCTCGAAACCAAGTAGGCGTAGTAATTTCCTATATTAACCCGAATGAGTTTGCTCCTCTGCTGTGACGCCTCCGTCACCTGACCCTCGTCGTCGGTATCAGTTGAAGAAGAGACATTCAGCTCTTCTGCTGCCAGAGAATGGCTAAAAGACGTCCTCCTTTCACCTCGGTGTGACGATGATGAAGCGCTGCTAGTTCCTGCCGCTGAAAAATCCTCGTTCTTAGATGCAGAGGACGCAATTTTCCTGGTGTCTTCCTTTCCTGTTGCGACTAATTGTTTCAATTTTTTTCTCAACTTGAGGGCCTTTACTTTCTGCTTTTGTCCCGCCCTATCAACATTTCTCACTCGTCCCTGAAAAGTCTGTTTTCCCCCTGCAGCCGACGAAGTGCGAGATCTCCTCGATTTGTGCTCACGATTCTGCTGATGACTGCTACCACGGGAGCCCGATTTTTTCTGCGTAATGGAGTGCTCGCGATTGTCCACTGGTGCACTTGACTGCCCAACTCTTTTCAATTCGAGTCGTTTCGCCACCTCCTCCACGCGTTTTTTCTTCGCCTCGGTATCTGTCTTTTCTTGCTCAGCTGCATTTGGATGTACCCCAGGTGTTGTGGTCCCAGTTTCGTTGCCTTCGTTATTTGCAGAGCTGGATTCCCCCTGCGATGTCGAATTGACTTCGGGGTCTCCTGACCCGCTGACGATTCCCTCGTGGGGATTTCTGTAGCGCTGCAATGGTGCTTTTGCCATTGCACTTGACCGTCGTGACCCTTAGCTTTGAAGCTTTATTTCGAACCTTATTACTGTTCCTAAGGTCCGGCCTGCGCGATCAGTAACTTTTTCGTAACTTTTGCCGCCACCACCTCCACCCCCCCCCCCTCCC